CAGAAGGGGAAAGCCTGGTTAAGGGGTCCCTCACCCCCTCTCCAAGGCACATTCCGCTTTCTGTCCTGTCATTTCTTTCGCTGTACTCCTAGCATGGCTGGAGGGCTTGTGGCTGGCTCGTTTGGAGGCCCAGCTGACCCAGGGACTGGCTGGTCCCCAGGCTTCCCCTCCAACCCCTGCGCTCTGCCTGCAGGCTTCTGCCCCTTCTCCCAGCCCTAAATGGAGTTGAGTTGCCACCTGGGACCAAGACTTACTTCTGACTCCTGGCATTTCTGTGTCTGGACGGATTCCGAGGGCGGCCTGCTGCCCAGACTTCCAGGGCCCGCACAGGTGGAAATGCTCTTCTGCAGGCAGATAAGTGGGCAGATTTGAACCAGCCCTTGCTTCCAGAAAACTCTGTGGAAAGACGCAAAAGATAAGGAGGACTGCAGCGGCCGTCTGCCCTGGTCTCATTCATGAGACTCTTGGGAGCTTTACGCTTCGTTCTTCCCATGATATATATGAGAAACTATACCTCCGTGAAATGCTGTGTCTGCTACCCAACAGAAGGGCCTACTTGAGGGCTGGGTGTGATGGCTCACCCATCTGACCTCTGTCATCCTGTTGACTAGTGTCACCCCTACCCAAGGGCTTCCTTCCCCATTTGCTGCCAGGTGTAAAGCTGAGTTTCACCTGGGCGCAATGGCGCACGCCTGTAATCCCAGCACTTTGGAACGCCGAGGTGGGTTGATCACTTGAGTCCAGGAGTTCAAGACCAGTCTGGCCAAAATGGTGAAACCCAATCTCTATTAAATACAAAATACTAATCGAGACCATCCTGGTCAACGTGGTGAAACCCCGTCTCTACTAAAAATACAAAAAATTAGTTGGGCATGGTGGCGCGTGCCTGTAATCCCAGCTATTCAGGAGGCTGAGGCAAGAGAGTTGCCTGAACCCAGGAGGTGGAGGTTGCGGTGAGCCGAGATCGCGCCATTGCACTCCAGCCTGGGTAACAAGAGCGAAACTCCGTCTCAAAAAAAAAAAAAAAAAAATGCAAAATCCTAGCCAGGCATGGTGGTGCATGCCTTGTAATCCCAGCTCCTTGGGAGGCTGAGGCAAGAGAATTGAACCTGGGAGGCAGAGGTTGCACCATTGCACTCCAGCCTGGGCGACAAAAGCGAAACTCTGTCTCAAAAAAAAAAAAAAAAAAGGCTGAGCCTCCCGAACAGCTGGTATGTGTTCCTGCTTATGGACATTGAGGATAGAGTCACTTCGTTTCCCTTTTTTCTTTGGCCACCAGGAGGCCCAGCAGTAAAGGTGCTGCCTTTCTCTACTAGTTGTGCAAAGACTTATAACCTACTTATGTGAATTTTTACTTCCTTGCTGGTTGAAATGTTTTTCTTCAGATTGGGTTTTCTCTACTCCTGATTTTAATGTTTATATTTCACTTTCTTTTCTTCATGTCTCCTCACCCTTTATGGAACCAGGCTGGGGGTATGTAAAAACACTCCACATGTAAACACACATGACGTCTTCACGGCTGCTTGGTTGGGCATGTCGCTCTTGCTTCCTCAGCTTCGGGAGACTGTTTGTGTGGTCACAGCCACTGGTCAGCTGCGATGTGCCTGAGGCTGGTCAGGCAGGCTGCTCTTTGCTTGTTTTTCTGCTCTCATCAGCTGCTTCGAATTGTAAAAATAATTTCTCTCCAAACCCATTAGCTACCCAGAGCATAAACAGTACTCTGTGGGTGAGTGTGTGTGGGTGTGTTTCTGTTTTTCTTCTCTGATATATATCTTTCACATTATATAAGGAAAATCTGCTTATGATAGAATTTAAGAATGATAACAAGTAAAAAAGAAAAGAAAGCTACCCGTAATTCTACCAGGGAGCCCACGTGTTAGTATTTTGTGATACATCCTTCTGGATGTTTTTTATCTATGCTTATATTTTTCCCACAAAAAATAGATTTTTAACATATATACTAAATATATTTTCTTCACTTAGTGGTAGATAATTCATGTGTTATTCTGTAAAAACAAAAGATACTTAAAATTTATACCAAGGGCTGGGCACGGTGGCCCACACCTGTAATCCCAGCACTTTGGGTGGCTGAGGTCGTGACTTCAAGATCAGCCTGGCCAACATGGCAAAACCTTGTCTCTACTAAAAACATAAAAATTAGCTGGGCATGGTAGCACATGCCTGTAAGCCCAGCTACTCAGGAGGCTGAGGCAGAAGAATTGCTTAAATATGGGAGGCAGAGGTTGCAGTGAGCCAAGATCATGCCAGTGCACTCTAGCCTGGGCAAGAAGAGCAAGACTCAGTCTCAAAAAATAAATAAAATGAAATAAAATTGGTATCAAGGATACATGTGTGTATAAATATAAGTATAGAAGGGCTTATTATAAAAAGCAAAAACATCTGTTCTCCCCCACCCCAGGCCTATTTAAAAGGAACTTTTTATCATTTAGAGTTCTTTTTTTTCTTCTTCTTCTTTATCTTTTATTTCATTTAGAGTTCTTGTTCTGCCGTTATTTCCTCCATTTTTTTTTTTTTTTTTTTTTTTTTTAAAACGGAGTTTCGCTCTTGTTACCCAGGCTGGAGTGCAATGGCGTGATCTCAGTTCACTGCAACCTCCGCCTCCTGGGTTCAGGCAATTCTTCTGCCTCAGCCTCCTGAGTAGCTGGGATTACAGGCACGCACCACCATGCCCAGCTAATTTTTTGTATTTTTAGTAGAGACGAGGTTTCACCATGTTGACCAGGGTGGTCTCGATCTCTTGACCTCGTGATCCACCCGCCTCGGTCTCCCAAAGTGCTGGGATTACAGGCTTGAGCCACCGCGCCCGGCCTTTCTCCATATTTTTAAGTAAAATACTTACACCACTATTTCTTGGCTTATCTGACTTCCTGACTTGCAGAGAAAAATAAAGCTTTTCCTCACTTATATCCCTCGCCCCTTCCTTCTCCCAACATATTCTTCATGGTATTCACTTCCTTGATTGGTTACCTTTGCAATATGAAAGAGTATAATTGACCTGAATTTCTTATTCCAGCAGCTTGTGACCCTGTCACTCTGCGAGAAGAGATAGAGTCTCTACTCTTAACCGTGCTACCATATTATGATGTCTATCTGTCATCCATTCTGCTTTCCAAGGTCAAGATTCTGTGTAATAACACTCCCATTCTGTGTAATAACCATCAGTCTCAAAGCTAAAGACCAGGCAGGCCAAGGTGGGTGAATCACTTGAGGTCAGGAGTTCGAGACCAGCCTGGCCAACATGGTGAAACCTCATCTCGACTAAAAACACAAAAATTAGCTGGGTGTGATGGTGCACAACTGTAATCTCCCAGCTACTTGGGAGGCTGAGGCAGGAGAATGGCTCAAACCTGGGAGGTAAAGGTTGCAGTGAGCTGAGATTATACCACTGCATTCCAGCCTGGGAGACAGAGCAAGACTCCATCTCAAAAACAAGAAAAGGGGCCAGGTGCGGTGGCTCACGCCTGTAATCCCAGCACTTTGGGAGGCCAAGGCGGGTGGATCACAAGGTCAAGAGATCGAGACCATCCTGGTCAACATGGTGAAACCCCGTCTCTACTAAAAATACAAAAATTAGCTGGGCATGGTGGCGCGTGCCTGTAACCGCAGCTACTCTGGAGGCTGAGGCAGGAGAATTGCCTGAACCCAGGAGGCGGAGGTTGCGGTGAGCCGAGATCACGCCATTGCACTCCAGCCTGGGTAACAAGAGCAAAACTCTGTCTCAAAAAAAAAAAAAAAAAAAAGGCTGGGCACAGCAGCTCATGCCAGTAATCCCAACACTTTGGGAGACCGAGGTGGGTGGATTGCCTGAGCTCAGGAGTTAATGGCCAGCCTGGGCAACACCGTGAAACCCCATCTCTACCAAAGTACAGAAAATTAGCCAGGCATGGTGGTGTGCACCTGTAGTCCCAGCTACTTGGGAGACTAAGACAGGAGAATTGCTTGAGCCCTGGAGGCTGAGGTTGTACTGAGCCGAGATCACGCCACTGCACTCCAGCCTGGGCAACAGAGTGAGACTCCTCAAAAAAAAAAACAACAACAACCAGTGTTCAACATTTGCATTACTCTGTCAATGCAAATCATGTTCACTGCAGGGCCAGGCATGGGCCACCCCTATACTTCCTTCTCTTTAGGTATAATGTGACTCAAAGGAAAATATTAAATGTATTTTCCTTTTTTAATATTCTATTATGTGCTCAAAACCCATTACTTTCTATTTCAGTTTGCTTGACACTTTGACCATGCTTTTTTTTTTTTTTTTTTAAGAGACAGAGTCTTGCTATGTTTCCCAGGCTGGAGTGCCGTGGCTATTCACAGGCGCGATCCCACTACTGATCAGCACGGGAGTTTTGACCTACTGTTTCCAACCTGGGCCGGTTCACCCCTCCTTAGGCAACCTGGTGATCCCCCACTCCCGGGAGGTCACTAGATTGATGCCGAACTTAGTGCGGACACCCGCTCGGCATAGCGCACTACAGCCCAGAAGTCCTGGGCTCAAGAGCTCCTCCAGCCTCAGCCTCCCGAATAGCTGGGACTACAGGCACGCGCCACCACGCCCAGCGACCATGCCTTTCTTGCTTGTTTTTCTGGAGTTTCTAATACATCACTTTTCCCAGCTGCAAAGCATTCATTTGGGTTGGGGCATCTTATTTTTTTTTTGACAAGTTCCCCTTGGATTTTTTTTTTTTATTAATGTGTAGGTGCCATAGTAAGCATTCTTTTTTTTTTTTTTTTTGAAAATTCCAACAACCAGATGTAGTAAGCATTCTTGTACATACATCTCTGTATTGTTTCTTATGTAATGTTTGGGAGTCCAGGAATGCTGCTCGCCCGTCAAACCTGATCCCCCCTACCCTCTGCCAGCCCCTTGCCACCCTTTGCCTTGCTGATTACCTTCCTTGAAACTAGTCCATTCTAGAAGCTGGTGTAATATGCTCTGTGGGAGGGGTGGCCCCAGGTAATTTCCATCTTCCTCTCCCCAGGCTCTGAAGAGCGACCATTTCTCAAATTTGAAGCTGAAAACATCTCCAACTACACAGCCCTTCTGCTGAGCAGGGATGGCAGGACCCTGTACGTGGGTGCTCGAGAGGCCCTCTTTGCGCTCAGTAGCAACCTCAGCTTCCTGCCGGGCGGGGAGTACCAGGAGGTGAGAGGTGTGACCTGGAGCTGGCTATGCTGGGCAGAGGACCACAGAGGGAAGACGGACAGGAAGCCTGACCTTCTGGGTCCAGGGATGATGCTGGTGGGAGAGGAGGAAGCTCAGTGAGCCCTCCATTTCTTTTCCCACCTACCTTCCCCCTTCTCATTCCCAGCTGCTCTGGAGTGCAGACGCAGAGAGGAAACAACAGTGCAGCTTCAAGGGCAAGGACCCACAGGTGAGCTCGAGCCTGGAGGCGTGCTGAGCTGCAGGAGGGACGGAGAGTGGTGGACTTCCATCCAGGCCAGAGGCGGGAGGCGGGAGCAGGCACAGCCAGCTATGGTGGGAAGGGCATAAGCTTCTGAGATGGCCAGGCCTGGGTTTGAATCCCAAGTCTACACTTAATTGTCTACGACCTCCAACAAGTAGAGTCACCTCTCTGGGCCTTAGTGGACCTACCTGTAAAATGGGGATGAGGATCCAGTCTCGCCGGGCTTACAGTGAGGATTCAGGAAGCGAATAGGTGTGAGGCACCTGGCTCATAGGTATGAGGAATAACAACTTCCAGCTCCCAGCATGAACGGGGATTGGGCACGTGAGGGTTGTGTCCCTCTGCAGATGGTTCCTGATGTAGCACATCTGACAGATCCTGGCTTGGTTTTGGCCAAACCACGGGATGAAATCTGGTTGAACCCAGGTTCTCCTGGAGGACTTGTCACCGTCCCCAGAAGCCTCCTGCTCCTGAGTGCAGCAGGTGCTGGGCAAGGTGAGGGCAAAAGAGCGCTGGGCTTGTGGTCAAGACACAGGTTCAAGTCCTGGCTGCCATTCTGTTATTCAGCTGACATTGATTAAGCACACACTTTGTGTCCATACTTTTAAGTAATGGAGATTTAACTGTGAAAAAGAAAGAGCAGGCTGGCACGGTGGCTCATGCCTGTAATCCCTGCACTTTGGGAGGCCAAGGTGGGCAGATCATGAGGTCAGGAGTTCAAGAGTAGCCAGGACAACATAGTGAAACCCCATCTCTACTAAAAATAAAAATAAAAATAAATTAGCCAGGCCGGGTGGTGTGCGCCTGTAATCCCAGATATTTGGGAGGCTGAGGCAGGAAAATCACTTGAACCTAGGAGGTAGAGGTTGCGGTGAGCCAGGATTGCACCACTGCACTCCAGCGTGGTGACAGTGAGACTCTGTCTAAAGAAAAAGAAAAGGCAGGCAGTCTACAAAGGTTATCGGGGAGGAGAAAAGGTGGTATTTAAACAGTGACATTTGAGCCGGCCATGGTGACTCACGCTTGTAATCCCAGCACTTTGGGAGGCTGAGGTGGGTGGATCACAAGGTCAGGAGTTCCAGACCAGCCTGGCCAATAGGGTGAAATCTCATCTCTACTAAAAATGCAAAAATTACCCAGGTGTGGTAGTGCTTGCCTGTAGTCCCAGCTACTAGGGAGGCTGAGGCAGAAGAATCACTTGAACCCGTGAGGCAGAGGTTGCCCCGCCCCTGCACTGCAGCCTGGGTGACAGAGCGATACTACATCTCAAAAAAAAAAAAAAAAGTGACATTTGAGCCAAGGTCAGGAGAGGGTGAGGAGTTGACCATAGCTGGAAGAGGGGCAGAACTTTTGATTTCACTCTGAGGGAGATACTTGGGAGGCCAGGGGAGGGCTGAGCAGACACGTGACCTGGTCTCACCTGTGTACTAAGAGGGTCACTCTGACCACTGTGGTAGAGTAGCCTCTGTGGGGAAGGACAGGACGAGGGAGAGCAGTGAGGGGTGAGGGATGGTGGTGCCTCGGACCAGTGAGAAGTGCTCAGATTCCGGACGCATTTTGCAGATGGAGTCACCGGGATGTCTGGGTGGGAAATTGTGGGGTATGACCGACACGAAGAGTCAAGGCTGACTGGGTTTAGGGCCTCAGCAGCTGAAAAGACAGAACTCATGAAAGTGGCAAGATCTCGGGCAAGCATGTGTTTTAGGGAGGACCAGAAGCTTGGTTGGAGGTGCCTGTAAGATACCCAAGTGAAGGTGCTGGGTGAATCTGGGGCTCAGGGTTCAGGGCTGAGCGTTCCTCCAGCTCTGGGCTGTGGCTTTGTCAGCCCCCAGCTTGGTTGTGAGGGGCCTGTGGTTTTCTTTGAGCTTCTGAGGACGCTCCATGGGGCCAGTACAACTCAAGGGGGAAGCATTCTGTGTCCTTGCCCCCAGACTAAAGGAGTTTGCCAGTCACAAAACTAGCTGAGCCCAAGGCTCCCTGCAGCACGCACACTCCACACACGCTCCACTGTCCCCAGAAACCCCTGTATTGTCCTTTGTTCCCAGACCTGGGTGCCCCATGCCAGGTGGTCCTGGGAGCAGAGGCTGGGCCTGGGTATGGTGAGGAGAGCTCGGCGCTGCCCCCTGGTGGCATGGTTGGCTATGGGCCTGATCTCCTCTTGCTCCTTCCCCCAGCGTGACTGTCATAACTACATCAAGATCCTCCTGCCACTCAGCAACAGTCGCCTGATCACCTGTGGCACAGGAGCCTTCAGCCCCGTGTGCACCTACATCGTGAGTGTCCCATCCTCAGCCCTGAGGCTGGCTTGGGAACTGCCCCTCTTTCTGCCCCAGGGCTCCTGTTCTTCAGCATGGACCCCTGGTGAAAGGCAGGGCCCAGAAGAAGGCTTCTGGGTACCACTGGCCTCCGAGAGCCTTGAGGTCCCACACCCTGGCACACAGACAGCCACAACTCCCTGTGCAGGGAGGAGAGACGGGGGTGCGTGCAGTCACTCACCACGAGGATCCTGTCCCACCCAGGCCTTACCGCCCACTCCCGCTTCTGGCGGTATCTCTCCCTCTCCTTTGCTTGATTCTCTTGTCTGACCTTGCACACCCACTCCTCAGCACACACCCCTAGCAGAGGCTGCTGTTTGATGCTGTGGGTTGGAGCCCAGCTTTGGGGTCAGACACACCTGAGTTTGAATCACGTTGTCGCCTCTTCCAGGCTCACGTCATTTTCTAAGCCTCACCCCCTCCACCAGGTGGGGATGGTACCATGTCCCGCATTCAGTCACTGTGGGGCAGTGCAGCACCGTGTCTGGGTGAGGCCTCTCTGGAGGCCGACTGTCCAGGCTCAAACCCTGTGGCACAGTGTCCTGGGTGAGGAGAGGATGGCCTCCCTGACACCTGTCCCCTTCTGTCCTGCACATCTCACCTGCCTGCAGAGTTGCCTTCTCTGGCATCCTTCTCTCTTTCTCGCTAAGCCTGCTCCTCATTCCCTGGTGTGCCCTGAGCCCATGTGTCTGCCCTCCCTCAGAACGTGGAGAACTTCACCCTGGCAAGGGACAGGAAGGGGAATGTCCTCCTGGAAGATGGCAAGGGCCGTTGTCCCTTTGACCCCAATTTCAAGTCCACGGCCCTGGTGGTTGGTGAGTTTTGGGGGCAAGACGAGTTGATTGAAGCTCCATCTGGAGACAGACAGGGCCAGAGGGATAGCTCTGTGTAGGGTGGGTCCATGCCATGCTCATTTCCAGGGCACGGAATGGCCATGGACTTGCCTTGGGTTTGGTTTTTCCAAGTTACTGCTTCCATCTCAGCTCACCACAGGCAAAGCAGGCAGTGCTGGGGTCACTCTGGGCCTTGGGCAGGGAGAAGAGGCCGTGCTAAGGAGCCCATTCCCATGGGAATGTTGTCTTGGCAGATGGTGAGCTCTACACTGGCACAGTCAGCAGCTTCCAAGGGAATGACCCGGCCATCTCCCGGAGCCAAAGCCTTCGCCCCACCAAGACCGAGAGCTCCCTCAACTGGCTGCAAGGTGAAGTCCTCTTGCCACCACCCAGAGGGCACGAATCCTGTTCCTGAGGTCCTACGAGTGGGGCACTCTCCCCCAGCAGGGCCTGTCTCCTGGGTTGCTGGGCTGACTCTGAGCTCCTGACCTGGCCCCTGCAGACCCAGCTTTTGTGGCCTCAGCCTACATTCCCGAGAGCCTGGGCAGCTTGCAAGGCGATGATGACAAGATCTACTTTTTCTTCCGGGAGACTGGCCAGGAATTTGAGTTCTTCGAGAACACCATCGTGTCCCGCATTGCCCGTATCTGCAAGGTGAGGGGGATGGGCCGACAGGGTGGCCACCCCGGGACCTCAAAGGTGCCACAGCTGCGAGACCACCCACATTCATGCGTGGCCTTTCCCATCCTCTAAGGGAACAGCCTGGCTAACAGCTTTTCTCTCTCCATTTCTTTTTTTTTTTTGAGACAGGATATTTGCTCTGTCACCCAGGCTGGAGTGCAATGGCACAATCACACAGTTCACTTCACTGCAGCCTCAACCTCCTGGGCTCAAGCAGTTCTCCTACCTCAGCCTCTGGAGTAGCCCCCATGCCCAGCTAATTTTTGTGGTTTTTGTAAAGATGGGTTTTCACCATTTTGCCCAGGCCTGTACAATCCACCTGCCTCAGCCTCCCAAAGTGCTAGGATTACAGGCATGAGCTACTGCACCCAGCCTCCTCAGTAGCTGGGATTATAGGTATCCACCACCACACCTGGCTAATTTTTATATTTTTAGTAGAGACGGGCTTTTACCATCTTGGCCAGGCTGGTCTTTAACTCCTGACCTCGTGATCTACCTGCCTCGGCCTCCCAAAGTGCCGGGATTATAGGTGTGAACCACTGCACCTGGCCCATTTTTTTCTTACTTAAAAAATGTAAAAATAGAGAACTGTACAGACAAAAATCACTTACAAGATAAAGAGGCACCATAGTGACAGCTGGAGAGCACAGACTCCAGAGGCCAACCATCTGGGTTCAAACCCTGCTAGGCCAGGATCCTCGGCAAGTCCCTCACCTGCTCAGTTAACTGTTTCCTCATCTGTTAAGTAGAAATACTGACACTGACCTCAGAGTTGTTACATGAATTAATTTCATTCATCCACGTGAAGCTCTTAGAAATGTGGTGGGCAGTGAGTAAACTCGAACGATTACTGTTACCACCCAGCACCCCAGCACAAGAAGAGGTCACTATTCACATTTTAGAATGTCCCCTCTTGTTTTTTTTTTTTTTTATAAGTTTGGCATGTGTGTAACTCTGTGTGTGTGTGTGTGTGTGTGTATTTTTTTTCCTTTTTGAGACAGGGTCTCACTTTGTCACCCAGGCTGGTATGCAGTGGCAAGATTTCACTGCAGCCTCCACTGCCCAATCTCAAGCAATCCTCCCACCTCAGTCCACCATGTAGCTGGGACTAGCTGCACATACTAGCACACCCAGCTAATTGTTTTATATTTTTAACAGAGACAGGGTCTCAAACTCCTGAGCTCAAGTGATCCACCCACCTTGGCCTCCCAAAGTGCTTGGATTACAGGCATTAATGACATAAGTACAGTCCCGACATTGTACTTAGTTTATGAACTCACTCGCCAACATGCCTTAGCCTGTATCAGGGTCCTTTGGCTGCCTTGTTTGCTCAGCAGTGAATTGCAGCCTCCTTTCTGTGTCTAGGCAGGCTCTGCTGGCTCATGGTAAGGAGCACATCCTCCTGGTGGACGTGAACACTGCCTCCAGGTCTTCTTGACTTTCTTTTTTTCTTTTTCTTTTTTTTTTTTTAGACAGAGTCTTGCTCTGTTGCCCAAGCTGGAGTGCAGTGGCACGATCTTGGCTCACTGCAACCTCTGCCTCCTGAGTTCGAGTGATTCTCCTGCCTCAGCCTCCCGAGCAGCTGGGACTGCAGGCACACACCACCACACCCGGCTAATTTCTGTATTTTTAGTAGAGACAGGGTTTCACCATATTGGCCAGGCTGGTCTTATACTCCTGACCTCGTGATCCACTCGCCTTGACTTCCCAAAGTGCTGGGACTGCAGGCATGAGCCACCGGGCCATCTTCTTGACTTTCAGTGGACCTTCATCCTGCCTTCTCCTCCCCTTCAGTCCTGGTGTCTGGGGTGGGTCCATTGAGGCAACCCTGTGCCATGTGTCCCCCTCATGGCTCGGTGTGCACCTAAGCCCAGCCCATCCCCGTCTCCCTCCAGGGCGATGAGGGTGGCGAGCGGGTGCTGCAGCAGCGCTGGACCTCCTTCCTTAAGGCACAGCTGCTGTGCTCACGGCCCGACGATGGCTTCCCGTTCAACGTGCTGCAGGACGTCTTCACACTGAGCCCCAGCCCCCAGGACTGGCGTGACACCCTTTTCTACGGGGTCTTCACTTCCCAGTGGTAGGACCCCCAGACCTGGCTGGAGATGGGAGAGTGAAGGGTGGCTGGGACTGGGGCCCCCAGTGGGTTAATGCAGTTATTTCCTCTGCAGGCACAGGGGAGCTACAGAAGGCTCTGCTGTCTGTGTCTTCACCATGAAGGACGTGCAGAGGGTCTTCAGTGGCCTCTACAAGGAGGTGAACCGTGAGACGCAGCAGTGGTACACCGTGACCCACCCGGTGCCCACACCCCGGCCTGGAGCGGTGGGTACTGGCTCCCTGCACCCCATGGGGGTGCTGGGAAGATGTGGGTCCCCATACCATACTGGGATCACGGCTGCCTAGCCTCGGGCAAATCACTTGGCTTCTGAATCTGTTCTCTCATCTTTAACATGGATACATAGGCCAGGCGTGCTTGTCTACAGGGTTAGATGTAACCACGAATGTCACAGTATCTTCCATTCTGTTTCAGGATCGCTGGGCAAGTGTGTCCTTATCAGGGCCCTTGCTGCAGGCTCTGCACTTGGTCCTCTCCCCTACTCAGCTTCAAGCTTCTTATTTAATTATCTAGTGACTGAATGGCCAAGCTTTGGGAAATGGTTCTTTCTTCCTCCCTTCTAGCCTAACGGGCTTCCCTGCAAGGAGACCTTGAGACAGGGATACACATGCCAAATAGTTGATTTGGGAGGTGATGCCAGGAAGGAATAGGAAGGTTGAGAAGAAGAGGGAAGGAACCGAGTGAGGGTGTCAGCGAGCCGTTGTTGCTGCGCCAGAGCTGAGTCCCGCCAGAGCCCCTGACCGATGGCGAGGAGCACCTCTCAGATTCAGGAAGCTCCAGGCAGTGCAGGAAGGAGCTGCCCACTGCACTGGGCCGCTGCCCAGCCAGGGCTTCCTGCCAGCACTGGTGAAGGGTGCTGAGGAGCAGGGAGTGTGGTCCCGCTTCTTGAGGCCATGGGTTGAGGCTGGGGTGGTAGGCGGGGAGGAGGCATAGCAAGGAAGCCCCCCAGGCGCTCCGTTTTCCCACACCCTGGGCTTTGCCATTGCTTCCTCAGTGCACGCTGGCTCTGGGCAGCACTGCCAGGGATGTGCCCTGGCTCTGGGGGGATGGACACCACTGCTTTCTACTGGCTAGGCAGGGCACCGCCCTCCTGCTGCCCTGGGGCGTGCTGGCCTCACACCGCTGCCTTCTCCTCCAGTGCATCACCAACAGTGCCCGGGAAAGGAAGATTAACTCGTCCCTGCAGCTCCCAGACCGCGTGCTGAACTTCCTCAAGGACCACTTCCTGATGGACGGGCAGGTCCGAAGCCGCCTGTTGCTGCTGCAGCCCCAGGCTCGCTACCAGCGTATGGCCGTCCACCGCGTCCCTGGCCTGCACCACACCTACGATGTTCTCTTCCTGGGCACTGGTAAGTGTCTGCAGCCCGGTGGGCTCAGGGGAAGGGGTGTGCATGGCCGTTGGGTCCTGGGCGGTGGGCTCCACCCCGGGCCTGAGTCCTGTCCACACCCCAGGTGACGGCCGGCTACACAAGGCGGTGAACGTGGGCCCCAGGGTGCACATCATTGAGGAGCTGCAGATCTTCCCCTCGGGACAGCCCGTGCAGAACCTGCTCCTGGACACCCACAGGGTGAGCAGGCCAGGGAGGAACCCTGGTAGGGTGCTTGGGGGGTGCTCTCCATTAGCGCCAAGTAGTCCCCACTCAGCTTCTCCTTCCTTGCCTCAGCAGGGCGGGAAGATACAGGATGCAGGCTCATGGCATGAGCTATTAGAAAGTAGGGTCACCAGTTCCATAACAGGCCTCTTGGGGTTGGCTCTGGGAGGCATCCAAGCTGGGTTGCCATGGGTGCTGGCCCTGGCTGCCCGTCCCGCTTCTCATCCCATGTCTGGCTGTGCAGGGGCTGCTGTATGCGGCCTCACACTCGGGCGTAGTCCAGGTGCCTGTGGCCAACTGCAGCCTGTACCGGAGCTGTGGGGACTGCCTCCTCGCCCGCGACCCCTACTGCGCTTGGAGCGGCTCCGGCTGTAAGCCTGTCAGCCTCTACCAGCCTGAGCTGGCCGCCAGGTGAGTGCTCCCAAAGGCCCCTTCCCACCTATCCATCCCTGCACAGGTGGCTTCAGAGCACCATCCTAGGCCCTCCTCGGGACCACCACACAGCCTCATGTACGTCCACTGTCTCAGCATGATTATTCATTAGCTCACTTGCTTCAAGTGAAGTTCAGACGGGAAATTATATGTTTGCCTTGGCTACCTATAAAATGAGGACGTGATTTGCTAAAGTATGACATATCACAGCTTTGAAAAACCTTGCGGGAAAATGTGGATTAGCATGTGAACGTGCTTAGTAACAGCAGGGCTACAAAACAGTCCATTAACAAACCCATTAAAAGCCGGGCATGGGATTAACCCATTAATCCCAGCACTTTGGGAGGCCAAGGCGGGTGGATCACAAGGTCAAGAGATCGAGACCATCCTGGTCAACAAGGTGAAACCCCATCTCTACTAAAAATACAAAAAATTAACTGGGCATGATGGCGCGTGCCTGTAATCCCAGCTACTTGGGAGGCTGAGGCAGGAGAATTGCTTGAACCCAGGAGGTGGAGGTTGCAGTGAGCCGAGATCGTGCCATTGCTCTCCAGCCTGGGTAACGGGAGCCAAACTCCGTCTCCAAATAAATAAATAAATAAACAAATCCATTAAAAATTGGTTTCAGGCCGGGCCCAGTGGCTCACGCTTGTAATGCCAGCACTTTGGGAGGCCGAGGCAGTGAATCTTGAGGTCATGAGTTCAAAACCAGCCTGACGAGGATGGTGAAACCCCATCTCTTTAAATTAAAAAAAAAAAAAAATGGTTTCAGAATAACCTATTTGGATTATAAAATGCTCATTTAGAAAATAGGGATGAACACAAACAAAAACTGCCCCTTGCCCCACCATCTAGAGAGCCACAGTGAGATTTTCATATATTATCCTCCCAGATTTTACTACATGTGTATAGAAAACAAAACTACTTTTATTTTATTTAATTAATTATAATTTTTGAGACAGAGTCTCGCTCTGTCACCCAGGCTGGAGTGCAGTAGCACAATCTTGGTTCACTGCAACCTCCGCCTCCTGGGATCAAGCGATTCTCCTGCCTCAGCCTCCCGAGTAGCTGGTGTTAATAGGTGCCTGCCAGCACACCTGGCTCATTTTTTTTTTTTTTTTTTTTTTTTTTTGAGACGGAGTTTCGCTCTTGTTACTCAGGCTGGAGTGCAATGGCGCGATCTCGGCTCACCGCAACCTCCGCCTCCTGGGTTCAAGCAGTTCTCCTGCCCCAGCCTCCTGAGTAGCTGGGATTACAGGCACGCACCACCATGCCCAGCTGATTTTTTGTATTTTTAGTAGAGACGGGGTTTCACCATGTTGACCAGGATGGTCTCGATCTCTCGACCTTGTGATCCACCCGCCTCGGCCTCCCAAAGTGCTGGGATTACAGGCTTGAGCCACCGCGCCCGGCCCCTAATTTTTGCATTTTTAACGGAGGCAGAGTTTCACCATGTTGGCCAGGCTAGTAAACTCCTGACTTCAAGTAATCCACCCACCTTGGCTTCCCAAAGTGCTGGGATTATAGCCATGAGCCACCACTTCTGGCCATTCATATATTTTAAATAACACTGGGAACTGTTCTGTTGGTAGTGTTCTTTCTTCACATATGGATTTACTAAGTGTCAGTTTTTAAAAAAACCGAATATGAGTTTCCAGCCTATACCTGGAGGGACACTCCAGGATGTTAACTGTCATGATCACTGGCTGGTAGACGCTGTGATTTTTGTGATGTTTTCATCCTTCACGACTGGTTGTCTGTTTTCTGAGTGCATCCAGAATTACTGTTCGTTTTTTTTTCCTTTTTTGAGACGGAGTTTCACTCCTGTTGCCCAGGCTGGAGTGCAGTGGCGCAATCTCGGCTCACTGCAACCTCCACCCCCTGGGTTCAAGCGATTCTCCTGCCTCAGCCTCGCAAGTAGCTGGGATTACAGGCATACGCCACCACGCCCAGCTAATTTTTGTTTGTTTGTTTGTTTGTTTTTTGAGATGGAGTTTCGTTCTTGTTACCCAGGCTGGAGTGCAATGGTGCGATCTCGGCTCACCACAACCTCCGCCTCCTGGGTTCAGGCAATTCTCCTGCCTCAGCCTCCTGAGCAGCTGGGATTACAGGCATGGGCCACCATGCCCAGCTAATTTTTTGTATTTTTAGTAGAGATGGGGTTTCACCATGTTGACCAGGTTGGTCTCGATTCTGTTGACCTCGTGATCCACCCGCCTCGGCCTCCCAAAGTGCTGGGATTACAGGCTTGAGCAACCGTGCCCGGCCCATTTTTTTTATATTTTTAGTAGAGACAGGGTTTCTCCATGCTGGTCAGGCTGGTCTCGAATTCCCGACCTCAGGTGATCCGCCTGACTCAGCCTCCCAAAGTGCAGGTGTGAGCTACCACACCTGGCCAAAAATAATTTTTTTAATTAAAAATAGTAAACAGAGAGATATATATACATACAGATCCAGCTGTCCTTCCAGTCTTTTTCTGAGGGTACATACTGTTTTTCACTATTATTTTTTGAGACAGGGTCTCTCTGTGTTGCCCAGGCTGGAGGATAGTGGTATGATTACAGCCTTGGCCTCCTGGGCTCAAGCGATCCTCCAACTTCACTCTCCCAAGTAGATGGAACCACAGGCATGCGCCACCATGCCTGGCTAATTTTGGTATTTTTTTGTAGAGACAGGGTCTCGCTATGTTGCCCAGGTTGTCTTGAATGCCCGGGCTCAAGCGATCTACCCGCCATGGCCTCCCAAAGTGCTGGGATTACAAACATGGACCATTGCGCCTGGCCACTGAGGGTACATACTGTTTATGTAATTAAGGGAAGTGTTATCTTAGTTTTTACTTGAAATAATGTGTAGGCAGAGGAGATGCTGACTCCTGCATGTTGGGAGTCAGCGCAGGAAAGGCCCTTGCCCAGGCCCAAGTCTGCACTGAGGGGTGAGGGAATGCGGGCGCAGGGGACTTCCTGGCCAGTCCCAGACTCTCTCTGGTCCTCAGGCCATGGATCCAGGACATCGAGGGAGCCAACACCAAGGACCTTTGCAGCATCTCTCCAGTCATGGGTCGGTCTTTTGTACCAACAGGTGAGGTGCCCCCTCTAAGGGTGGAGAGAGGTGGGGATGAGTCTGCTTGAACTCCCCCCAGGCACAGATGTTGTAAATGCCTTTCCTCACATCCTTGCCCCTAGCCCTGTCATCAGGGCCCCAGGAAGACTCAGACCCAGGAGTCTCCCTAGTTGCCCAATCATGGCACCAGGGGCATAGCCCAGAGGGAGGCAGGGGATGCTGGCGCTGCCCTACCTCATGCCTTTTCTGCCTGCAGCTGAGAAGCCATGTGAGCAAGTCCAGTTCCAGCCCAACACGGTGAACACTTTGCCCTGCCCGCTCCTCTCCAACCTGGCGACCCGACTCTGGCTGTTCAATGGGGCCCCTGTCAATGCCTCAGCCTCCTGCCACGTGCTGCCCACTGGGGACCTGCTGCTGGTGGGCAGCCAACAGCTCGGGGAGTTCCAGTGCTGGTCGCTAGAGGAAGGCTTCCAGCAGCTGGTAGCCAGCTACTGCCCAGAGGTGGCGGAGGACAGGGCGGCAGACCAAACAGATGGGGATGCCAGTGTGCCTGTCATCATCAACACGTCACGTGTGAGTGCACCAGCTGGTGGCCAGGCCAGCCTGGGTGCAAACAAGTCCTACTGGAAGGAATTCCTGGTGATGTGCACGCTCTTTGTGCTAGCCGTGCTGTTCGCACTTTTATTCCTTCTCTACCGGCACCGGGACAGCATGAAAGTCTTCCTGAAGCAAGGGGAATGTGCCAGCGTGCACCCCAAGACCTGCCCTGTGGTCCTGCCTCCCGAGACCCGCCCACTCAATGGCCTAGGCCCCCCAAGCGCCCCACTTGATCACCGAGGCTACCAGGCCCTGTCAGATAGCCCCCCAGGGGCCCGAGTCTTCTCTGAGTCAGAGAAGAGGCCGCTTAGCATCCAAGACAGCGTTGTGGAGGTGTCCCCGGTGTGCCCCCGGCCCCGGGTCCGCCTTGGCTCAGAGATCCGTGACTCTGTGGTGTGAGAGCCGACCGCGAGAGTAGGCTGCCCTGGCTTTAGGGGCTGTGAATGCTCGAAGAGGGTCAGCTGGACCTCCACTCCACCTCCTCGTGGAGCACAGCAGTGGTGCCCAGCCCTCGGGAGCCTTGGAGCCAGCTGGCCTGCGGCTCTCTGATCAAGTAGTGAGGCTCCAACCACCCAGACACCCAAACAGCCATGGCGCCACAGGTCCCGGCCAAAGATGAGCACCTGCCTAGGTGGGTGGAACGGTGCTCCTTATGTAAACTGAGCCTTTGTTAAAAAAAAAAAAACAATTCCAAATGTGAAACTAGAGAGGAAAGAGACAACATGGATTGGCACGCACTGGCTGCTCCAGTTCATGGCTTCCCAGGCCACTGGGGATGCATCCAGAGTTGTGGAGACAGAGTTGGAAACCCTCACCAACTGGCCTCTTCACCTTCCGCCTTATCCCGCTGCCACGAGCTGCCCTGTCTCACTGCAGACCCAGGACCAGCTCGGGCTCCATGCATTCTGCCTTGCCAGCCAGCCGAGGATCCAGGACCAGCTTGGGGTCTGTGCGTCCTGCCCTGCCAGCTGTCGAGGATCCAGGACCAGCTCAGACTCCGCGTGCCAGCGGAGGATGTCATTGTTGCTGCCGTCATCCCACCACCTCAGGGACCAGAGGGCTAGGTTGGCATTGCGGCCCTCACCAGGTCCTGGGCTTGGACTCAGCTCCTGGACCTTTCCGGCCTGTATCAGGCTGTGGCCACATGAGGGAGAGGACAGCGTGAGCTCATGAGAGACTCAGTGACAATGTATGCCTTTCCCTCAGAATTCAAGGAAGAGACTGTTGCCTGCCCCCAGCATTGTAGCCTGAGAATCCTGTGCCGTTCCTACCACATCCACCCTCGCTCCATGGTGGAACTCAAAACACGAGAAACTAACTGTATCCTGTCCTCTCCCCAGGCCTCAGTTCACCCCTCATCCCTCACTTGCCTCTTCTCTAAGGGATATCAACACTGCCCAGCGCAGGGGTCCTGAATTTATGTGGATTTTATATGTATTTTTAATACAATGCACTTTATGTCATTTTTTAATAAAGTCTGCAGAATTACTGTTTAATCCTGGCTCTTCCTCTTAAAGGACACTTGCTTTTTGAGGCTGGTCTAGTTTTGAGTTCTGAGGGGTTCTGAGCCACCTCTTTGCAGGCTCGGGTGAGCCAGAGTCCGCCTAGCCTGGCCAGCGACATCTCCCTGTGGAGCGGCTCTTAGTGGGGAGCTTCACCCACTGATAGGCAGAGGCAGGGGTTTCACTGTGTTGACTTCAACCCCTTTATTCTACATCCCCGATTGGGTTTTGCAGGGGTAGGGACACAGGAGGGGATGTGATGGGGGCCCTTTGTTATAATTTTTAATTTTTCAAATCATGCGGTAAAATGGACTTTATTGATGCGGTTCTTGACATTTTGGCATGCAGAGACTCATGGAACCACCACCCCAGTCAGGATACAGGAGAGCGCCCCCCTCACGCTGCCCCTTCGTCCTCAACCCTCCCATGGGACAGCTGGCACCATGCGGCTTGACTTCCCACTGGCCCCTGCTCCATACGCTGCTCATTCCTGATGAGGTATGGCTCCTAGAAGAGAAGTCCAGGCTGGGCGCAGTGGCTCATGCCTGTAATCCCAGCACTTTGGGAGGCTGAGGTGGGTGAGTCACAAGGTCAAGAGATCGAGACCATCTTGGCCAACATAGTGGCGTGTGCCTATAGTCCCAGCTACTCGGAGGCTGAGGCAGGAGAATCGCTTGAACCCGGGAGGCAGAGGTTGCAGGGAGCCGAGATCACGCTACTGCACCCCAGCCTGGACGACAGAGCAAGACTCCATCTCAAAAAAAAAGGGAAAAAGTCCAGTCTTTCCTCACACCAGTGTAACTTGGCTCACACACAGGGTCAAGCTTCTAAACCTTTATTACTGATGAGTACAGACAAACAGGGCAATGGCAGAGGAGAGGCCCTGACAAGGAGGCCACCCTTGACCGGGTGAGGCTGCACAGTGCCAGCTCCAGGCTGGGCCCGCCTGGCCTGCCCTGGCAACACAGGCTTGCCCTTAGCCACAGCTCAGCAGCAGAAAGGTTCTTGGACAGGATACCAGGACACACACCGGGGCTGCTGTCACAGGACAATCTTAAAGGAGCTGAACAAGAGACAAGTGGGGTGAGTTTTCTGCTGGAAGAGGAGGGGAGGGACGAAACCCAAACTCGCCCCTTCTCCCTTTAGCCCCTTCTTTGAAACGAGCTGTGTCTGTGTGAGTCAGTCCCCTCTGGAAGAATTCCCCTAGACTTCCAGAGGAAGCTTCTGAACCCACACACGGGGTCAGAGCTTCTAAACCTGTATTACTAAGTAGTACAAACAGAGCAATGACGATGGCAGTGGGAAGGGGAGAGGCCTTGACAAGGAGGGCCACCCCTGCCCGGGGTGAGACTGCCAGCTTAGCCGGCCATGTGTGTGGGGACCAGGGCTTTCTCTCACCCCTGGCACCACCTCCTGTAGCAATGTCCTAGGCCCAGAGGCAGCAGATGGGACCTGCAGGTACCCAGAAGGCAGGGGGACCACTGTCATACCTGGCAAAGTCTGGGGAACGGGAGATGACGTGCTGGAACTCAGAGAGGTTGATGGTTCCATCCCTGTCAATGTCAGACTCCTCCAGGATCTGGGGAAGGGAGAGTTTCAGGCCAAAGCTAGCTACCCTTCCCTCCCACTCCCAGGCCCAGCTGCTCACGTTGTCAATGAGCTGCTTCATCTCGGACGCACTGAGCCGTGTGTCCTCGCTCTCTCCTGTGAGGCAGTTTACCAGCTGGCTCAGGTCTTCTCTGTTCAAGGTTCCATCATCATCAAAGTCTAGAGAGCAGACACAGGAAGCCAAAAGACACAGTTGGGAGGGGCTCTGATGTTCCACACACGGTGCCCATTTCCCAAGTAGGGCCACCCCAAAGCCCACGTGGGAAGGGGTGGTGTCCCACAGGACTGCCCCTGGTTCTCACCGAAGATTCGGAAGGCATAATGGGACTTGATGTCCGGCGTGGCTGTGTCACTGAACACACTGAGGAGGTCCAGGAAGTCCTCAAAGCTAAGGCTGTCTCTGGTTGGGGACGTGGAGAAGACTCTGCAGATTCGCTCCTTGAAGGGGTTGGCCTAGGAGAACAAACGACACAGGACGTGGCCCAGGTCACACACTCATCACACCCTATCAGAAACGTGAGTGAGCAGGTCATAGGATCAGCACCAGGGAGCTCAGGCTCTCGAGGGTGAATGATCAGTGCTTTGGGGCCAACATGCAGGGCAGTGGGGGCACAGGAGGGCAAAGTGAGCCAGCTGGGGAAGGGACTGAGACGGCTTCCTGGGAGTCAAGTGTTTAACCCAAAGGCAGGTCATGTACAACATAAGTGTGAGCAGAGAGGGAAGAAGAAGGCATCTTAAGCAAAGGGAACGAGATGGGCTGGTTATTTTAAAACACAAATGGGTAACTGAACAGCTATTGTGTTATAGGCCCTGGCCCAGGCCCTTTGCACAGAAATCTCACAGCAGTCCTATGGATTTGCAATCAGCCTCTAGAACAGGGTTCCTCAAACCTTAATATGTTAAAGAACAAAACTTCTTTGAACTTCCAAGAATATGTCCTAGAATCCCCATTTGAAAAGCACCATTCTAGAGAATTCTGCCAGGTGATTTTGGTAAAGTCCTTGCCCCCAGAAAATTAGGACTAAGCAGAAAAATGACCAGAATGGGGACCAGTGACCCCATGATCTCAAAGCTAGCGGCAGATGGAGTTAGGGGGGTCTAGCAGGGAGGGAGTGGTGCGGGAGGAGTCAAAGGAGGGGAGCACTGGCACCTTAAGCTCTGGAAGGCTGAGGATCTGCTCGAAGGACACTTGTGCCCGAAGTGACGCCTCCATGCTCTGCTGCTCCTGGGGAAGCAGCTCACAAAACCGCCTGTGGGCTCTGGCAGAGAGAGGGGAACTGTTGGCCCCCTCAGCAATGGGCGTCCCTGTGTGTTCATTCCCACTCCTTGCCTGCTTCTCATTATCAACTAGGTGAGGAGTTGAAACCACATACATAGAACTTCCCAGTGATCAGGCAACAGTAAGCAAAAGGACATGTCACAAGGCTGTACAGCCTAGGAGTCTAGTCTTACAGTGAGTATTCACTGAGCATCTACTATGTGCTGGACACTGATTCTCGAGATCCCCGAGGGATAAAGAGGTTGGGGATGGAGCCAGAAGTTGGCCCTAAAGAACTGGCCAAGTGCTGTGGCTCACGCCTGTAACCCCAGCACTTTGGAAGGCCAAGGTGGGCAAAGCATTTGCGGTCAGGAGTTTGAGACCAGCCTGAGCAAAATGGTAAAACCCCATCTCTACTAAAATACAAAAATTTGCCAGGCGTGGTGGCAGGTGCCTGTAATCCCAGCTACTCAGGAGGCTGAGGCAGGAGAATCACTTGAACCTAGGAGGTAGAGGCTGCAGCCAGCTGAGATCGTGCCACAGCACTCCAGCCTGGGCCACAGAGACTTTGTCTTGATAAATAAATTAATTAACAAAAACAGGGAGAAAAGAGCAAAACCAAAAATCTCATCACCTCCACTCCAGGGATCTCTTGCCCTCAAAGCCTTCTTTTTAGCAGCCACCCTGGACTGTCCTCCTCCTCGGCCTCCATCTCCTTCCCATGAGATCATCTTTGCGCAGAGGCCCAGGCATCTCCTCACTCAAGTGCCCACCCTGCATGTATCTGGCAAAAGGGCTTCCAGGTCAAGTTCAAATCTACTTTAGCTCAGAGTGTTATCTTGGGCAGTTAGCAAACCTCTCTGAACCTGTTTCCTAAAGATTAAATTAGGTCATGAAGGCAACCATTTAGCACAGTCCCTGGCACATAGCGAGGGCTCAGAAAGCGTTAACGGTTACTGTATTGTTCAGGTCAAGTTGGGAGAAGGAGCCAGGCTCCCCAAGGCTTCCGTGGCTTAGCCACTGCGCAAGGCCGGCCCCTGCCGGACTGGAGCAGGAAGTTCGGCAGTGCTGAAGCTAGTTAGCTCAGGGTCAAAGAGCGCCTAACTTTTCTCGGTGCCACGCCCCGCGGTGCCACGCAGGGCCCCCGGCGAGGGCGGGGAGGGCGTGCCAGGAGGAGAGCGTAGCCCCGGCAGGGTCTCCCGGCCTCCAGCCCCAGCTCCTCAGCGGACCTCAGGCCGGCCCCCGCCCCTCCCTTGGGGCAGCGCCCCCAGAGGCCGCCTCCAGAGGAGCCCGCGGTCAGAGGCAGGTTCAAGGCAGCACTTACAGGAGGATCTCCTGCTTCGTCAGGAACGTCAAGTCCTGGAAAGCAAAGCCAGAGCGGGGGTTAGCGGGTCGCCGGGAGGCCGTGATCGCCCCGCCGCCGCTCCCGGACCCCGCCCGGGAAAAGGCCGGCACGCGAGCTCCCTAGGGCCCGGCGCCCCGCGCACCTGGTACTCGGCCAGCAGCTCCTTGGACAGGCGACTGCCAGAGCCCCCCATCGCCGCGCCGCGCGCACCGCTCCGCCAACTCGCCTCGAGACGCCGACAACTTTCTCACTTCCGCCTTTGGGCAGCGTCTCAGCCCGGTCCCCGCGGCAACCGCTCCAGGGGCCACCACCCCCGGGCCCGCCCCCTCCTAAACGCGCCCAGGCGCTACTAGCCGGGTTAGGCAGGCGAGCTCCCGGCTCCGGGCGGTCCCAGGAGAGCTGGAGGCGGGCCCAGGGGCGGGGCCTGATGCTCCGGGGCGGAGCCCAGGCCTCACGGCCCCGCCTCCGGAGTGGGCGGGGCGAGCCACTCCGCGCGCATGCGTGCTGGCTGCGCATGCGTCGCGGGCGTCGCTTCCTGGCAGTGGTCCCTGTAGCGGCTTCCTGGAGAGTCGCGCGGTGCTTTCCCCTCGGCTGCGGTAGGTGGTGGCGGCGTCAGCCCTGGGTGGAGTCCCGTAGGGGCATCTGAGAAGTCACTGGAGCTGACCAGGAAACCTGGACACTTGCTGAGTGGCCGGGGTCTTCGGCTGCCCCTCTGCCCAGCAAGGACTTTTCTAGACCTTATCAGGCAATCGCGGCACCTGTCGCAGCCCCCAAGTCGCCTCTTCCAGAAGTAACCCTAACCTTGCTTCCTTCTGAGGCTATTTACTGAGGACTCACTGGATGTCAAGCACTGTGCATAGTTTTCTTTGACTGCAAGGTAGGTACCCATTTTACACGGTGGAAATGCCTAAGTCCAGAGGGTATTAGTGATGTGTCCGGGCTCTGGCGTTTAGAAGATGACCGGTCCAGTCCAAGGCACTTTTCTTCTTCTTTTTCTTTTCTTTTTTTTTTTTTTTTGAGACAGAGTGTCGCTCTGTCGGCAGGCGCCAGGCTGGCGGGATCTCGGCTCACTGCAACCTCTGCCTTCTGGGTTCAAGCAATTCTCCTGCCTCAGCCTCCCAAGTAGCTGGGACTATAGGCGCGCGCCACCATGCCCAGCTAATTTTTGTGTTTTAGTAGAGACAGGGTTTCACCATGTTGGCCAGGGTGGTCTCCATATCTTGACCTCGTGATCTGCCTGCCTCGGCCTCACAAAGTGCTGGGATTACAGGCGTGAGCCACCACGCCCGGCTCCAAAAGGCTCTCCACTGCTGTTCTCATCATTCCAGCTGACGTGCCATCCTTTGACCCTATCTCACCCCTAGACTGTGTGCTCTAGGCTGTAGAGACCAAAGCTGACCCATTTGCTCTTGTCCCCTCTTAACCTCTAGGACAATGGTTGGCATATATTAGGTTCTCAGTAAATATTATCAAATGCATAATGAATGAATGAACGTATTCTACTGCAAAAGGTAAGGACGCCAAGCTGCTGGGACGTGGAAGTGGAGGTTGTGTTGGTCAGGCTGGGATTAACTCTTGATCCTTTCAATCCGTTATAGTTGCTCATCTTTGTAAAATCTAAATCTGAGTGTGTCATTCTCAGCTTATAACCATTAAATGGTTAAAAACCCAAATCCTGGCCCTCTGTAACAGAACTTCCTCCTATTGGCTCTCTGTGTTTCAGCCATTATGGGCTCTGAGTCCCTCTTCCATCTTATTCTCAGAGAAGCCTTTCCTGACTCTGTAGACTGGCTAGGAATCTACTTTGCACTTGAAGAATACCCAGTGCTTCTCCTTGGCAGCATGTGTCTAGTAAGACCCATTGTATTAACACATGCATTCCATCATTGTAGAAATATTCAAGGCCGGGTGCGGTGGCCCATGCCTGTAATCTTAGCACTTTGGGAGGCCGAGGCGGGTGGATCACTCGAGTCCAGGAGTTGGAGACCACCGTGACCAACGTGGCAAGACGCTGTCTCTACTAAAAATGCAAAAATTACCCAGGCGTGGTGGCACACAACTGTAATTCCAGCTACCCTGCAGGCTGAGGCACAAGGATCCCTTGAATCTAGGAGGCAGAGGTTGCAGTGAGCTGAGATTGTGCCCCTGCACTCCAGCCTGGGCAACAGAGTGACTCTGTCTCAAAAAAAAAAAAAAAAAGAAGAAGAAGATAACTAGGTTGTAGAGCCATCCCAACATGATCATTTTTCTGTTAATAGCAGGCTATTTCAGTCCAAGAAAGAGTTGGTCTTCTGTCAGTAAAAGCTTAGGCAAAAAGCAGGAAGCTGTCATGTCTCCTGTACTACACTTCCTTAGGAACAGGGACCTTGTTTGTCTCTTACAAGCCAAGGCGAATACCTGCACTACATTATAGTAAATATCTCTTTATAGTGAAGACAGGGGAATCAGCTTAGTGCCTGGTGACTATCTGTGATCTAGATACCTCAGCCACATCACTGGGCTCTTAACCCTTCAGGGAACAACCTTCTGGTTTTCATTTTGCTTCCTGATAGGTTTTGTCCACTGACCAGCCAGCAAGAACCTTTTTGCCATTTGGCACATTTCTCATTGTAAATTGTTAAAATAGGCGGTCTGAATCATCTGGCGGTCTTTGGTGAATCTGGTTAGCATATTGTCCCTCTTGTACCTGATCAACTCTTGATACAGTGATAAAACCAAGCAGAGCTGACGGAACCCAAGCTTGGACTGAAGTGACTCTCTTCACGTAACGCTCCTTTCGACATCCTGTCTGGGCCAGTAGCAGGCCCCTCTCCCTGACACTGCTGGGCCCAGGCTCCAGGAGGCCAGTGGAAGATGAAGGGAGCCACTAATTTCCCCCTTGAAGGGTTGGCCCTGGGCACTGACACACACATTGGTGCCATCCTCACCCAAATGTTTCCATGCATGACCAGTTGGAATCACTATAGAACATGGAAAAGCTTTTCCCACAAAAGTGGTTATCTTTGAAACCCTGACCACTCTCCTACACTGGAACTCAGGTATGGTTTTCTGGAGGGCAGTTTGATGATCTATTTCCAAAACCTGAACCATGGGAGTTTGAGACCACCTGAACAGCGTAGTGAGGCCCTGTCTGTACCAAAAACAAAACAAAAACCTGAGCCGTGGACCTACTCTGACCCAGTGGTTTACTAGGATTTTATTTTAAAGGAAAATGAAAACATGGTGTGTTCAAGGGTGAGTATATGAGTGTGTAGGATGTTTATTGCCATATTGCGTATAATAGAATGAAACTAGCTATAACCTATATAAACAACAGTTGAAGATTGGTTAAAAAGTCAAGATCTGGCGGGGTGCAGTAGCTCATGCCTATAATCCCAGCGCTTTGGGAGGCTGAGGTGGTCGGATTGCCTGAGCTCAGGAGTTCGAGACAGCCTGGGCAACACAGTGAAAGACCGTCTCTACTAAAATACCAAAAATTAGCCAGGCATGGTAGCACGCGCCTGTAGGCCCAGCTACTCAGGAGGCTGAGGCAGGAGAATTGCAAGAACCCGGGAGGTAGAGGTTGCAGTGAGCAAAAATTGCGCCACTGCACTCCAGCCTGGCAAGAGAACAAGACTCCATCTCAAAAAAAAAAAAAAAAAAAAAAAAAGTCAAGATCCATCTATGTATGAAAACGAAGGACGCTGGGCGGGGTGGCTTACGCCTCTAATCCCAGCTCTTTGGGAGGCGAAGGCAAGCAGATCACCTGAGGTGAGGAGCTGGAGACCAGCCTGGCCAACATGAGAAAACCGTGTCTGTACTAAAAATACAAAAAATTAGCCTGTCGTGGTGGCACATGCCTATAATCCCAACTACTCGGGAGGCTGAGGCAGGAGAACTGCTTGAACTTGGGTGATGGAGGTTGCAGTGAGTCAACATCACACCGTTATACTCCAAACTGGGCAGCAAGAGCGAAGTCTCAAAAAAAAAAAGCAAAACATAAATTACAGTCTTTCCTTAGGCATTATAACAAAGGGTTATGTTTTATCTTTTTTCTCCATTAAGAAAGTTTACTCAGCCGGGTGCAGTGGCTCACCCCTGTAATCCCAGCACTTTGGGAGGCCAAGGTGGGTGGATCATGAGGTCAACAGACCATCCTGGCCAACGTGGTGAACTCCTGTCTCTACTAAAAATTAAAAAATTAGCTGGGTGTGGTGGTGTGCACCTGTAATCCCAGCTGCCAGGGAGTCTGAGGTGGGAACTTGAACCCAGGAGGCAGAGGTTGAGCGGAAATCACTGCCACTGCACTCCAGCCTGTGCAACAGTGAAATTCCATCTCAAATAAATAAATAAATAAATAAAATAAAGTTAAAATCTCTAGAAGTGGGTTACCATCATGTATTTTTCACCTTTTATGATTATTTCAGGTCAGCTCTATGGCTCTTCCACGTGATTCAAATGAAACTTCCTATTTGCTACCTCCAAGCAAGGAGGACTGGGAAAGGCAAGCCATTCCTGATTTTGTTTATGGGCAGAAGGATCTCACGGCAGAAGGGGTTCAGTGGCCAAAGAATGCACCTGGCACCCTGCATACTCTGCCTCAGTCTCCCTTCGATGCTGCACTCTGCTCCGCCTGGAGGCAGCGGGTGGAGCTGGGGCTGTTTCGCTACCGCCTGCGGGATCTACAGACCCAAATCCTCCCTGGTGCTGTGGGTTTTGTGGCTCAGCTGAATGTGGAGCGTGGTGCGCAGAGGAGGCGCCCGCAGACCATCATGAGTGTGAGGCAGGCATTTGACCCTGAGCAATTCAACTTCAATAAGATCCAGCCTGGAGAAGTCCTCTTTTGTTTGCGCCGGGAGCCTGATCTCCCAGGGATGCTCCAACAAGAAGACATCCTCGTGGTGATCAATGTCAGCCCCCTGGAGTGGGGCCACGTGCTGCTGGTGCCTGAGCCTGCCCGGGGCCTCCCCCAGCGCCTGCTGCCGGGTGCACTGAAGATGGGGGTTGAGGCTGTGCTGCTGAGCTTACACCCGGGCTTCCGTGTCGGCTTCAACAGCCTGGGAGGCTTGGCTTCGGTGAACCACCTCCACCTGCATGGCTATTATCTGGCCCACAGACTGCCCGTGGAGCATGCACCAAGTGCGCCCCTGGACCCTGGAGGCCATTTGCATCTGCTCCAGGGCCTCCCCGCTCCCGGCTTCCTCTTTTACTGTCGGGGGCCAGGGCCTGACTTGGAGGCCTTGATAAGCAGGGTATGTCGGGCCACTGATTATCTCACTAACCATGAGATTGCACATAACTTGTTTGTGACTCGGGGAGCTCCGCCAGGAAAGACCTCACCTTCCTCAGCTCTCACAGGGGTCCGAGTCATTCTGTGGGCCCGGAAGTCCAGCTTTGGGATAAAGGAAGGTGAGGCCTTCAATGTTGCCCTCTGTGAGCTAGCTGGGCACCTCCCTGTCAAAACCTCCCAAGACTTCAGTAGCCTGACAGAGGCAGTGGCTGTGGCCCTCATTCAGGACTGTCTGCTGCCCCCAGCCCAGGCAGAAGAGGTCCAGGCTGCACTGGTGGCCCTGATGGCCCAGGAAGAGCAATAATACTTCTGGATATATTTATGTTCTTTTTTTATTTTCTTTTGAGACAGAGTCTCACTCCATCACCCAGGCTGGAGTGCGGTAGCACGATCTCAGCTCACTGCAACCTGTGCCTCCTGGGTTCAAGCAATTCCCCTGCCTCAGCCTCCCAAGTAGCTGGAATTACAGGCGCATGCTACCACACCAAGCTAATTTTTGTATTTTTAGTAGAGATGCGGTTTCATGTTGGCCAGGCTGATCTTGAACACCTGACCTTGTGATCTGCACCCCACCTCAGACTCCCAGAATTTTTTTTCTTTTCTTTTTAAATGACTAGGTGATTTTGTATTTTTTCATAGAGACAAGGTTTCACCATGTTGCCCAGGCTGGTCTTGAACTCTTGGGCTCAGACAGTCCTCCCACCTTGGCCTCCCAAAGTGCTGAGATAACAGGAGTGAGCCCCTGCACCTAGCCTGGATGTTTTTCTTTTCTTTTCTTTCTTTGTTTCTTTTTCTTTCTTTTTTTTTTTTTTTTTTTTTTTGAGACAGTCTTGCTCTGTCACCTAGGCTGGAGTACAGTGGCACGATCTCAGCCTACTGCAGCCTCCGCCTCCAGAGTTCAAGTGATTCCTGCCTTAGCCTCCCAAGTAGCTGAGACTACAGGTGCCCACCACCAGGCCCAGCTAATTGTTTTGTATTTTTAGTAGAGAAAGGGTTTCACCATGTTGGCTAGGCTGGTCTCGAACTCCTGACCTCAGGTGATCCACCCGCCTTGGCCTCCCAAAGTGCTGGGATTACAGGAATAAGCCACCACACCCAGCCTGGACATGTTCATTCTCTACCTGATAAGTCCCTTTCCAGAGCACTGCCCATCATGGTCATTTAAGCATTTATTTTCATGGCTGCCTTCTCACCTATCTCAGCCTAAGAGGGATAAAGAAAGCCGACAATGGTCTCTTTAAAGGGGAGAAACCCTGGAATAATTATACTGAATAAGACTCATGGATGTATCTGCTACCTCTCCCCATTCTTGGTCATGCCCCATGGGTATTAAAAAAGGAGTGTGTGAGAGAGTTACACACTCCTGACTTTATATTTGGACTTTGTCTTCCTTTGATATCAAATGTTAGCAAGGTGATAGTGCATGTGCCTGCAGCGTTGAGCTGCCATTCTGCTCTCAGCCTCTCTGTTATTCCCCTTTGCTCACTGCTAATTTTATTTCTTCATCCCTTCTTTACATTTAACCTGGCTCCATCCAAATGCCCCACTCCTTCACTTTCCCGACCACCCCGAGCTTTCAACTATCCCCCACACCGAGTTGAATGCTCTTCACTGACATCATCTGATGGAAAAACAGTGTCCTCACAGCTTTCCAGGTGCACTTCCTGTTTTTCCTTTCTTTTTTTCTTTGTAAGGCTGGGGTGCAGTGGTGCAATCAGCTCGCTGCAGACCTGAACTCTTGGGCTCAAGACCCATCCCACCTCAGCCCCCTGAGTAGCTGGGACGTTAGGCTTGTTCTATCATATCTGGCTGATTTTTTTTTTTTTTTTTTTTTTTTTTTGAGACGAAGTTTCGCTCTTGTTACCCAGGCTGGAGTGCAATGGCGCGATCTCAGCTCACCGCAACCTCTGCCTCCTGGGTTCAAGCAATTCTCCTGCCTCAGCCTCCCAAGTAGCTGGGACTACAGGCGTGCGCCACCATGCCCGGCTAATTTTTGTATTTTTAGTAGAGATGGGATTTCACCATGTTGACCGGAATGGTCTCCATCTCTTGACCTCATGATCCACCCACCTCGGCCTCCCAAAGTGCTGGGATTAAAGGTGTGAGCCACCGCGCCTGGCCATATCTGGCTGATTTTAAATTTTTTTGTAGCAACAGGTTCTTGCTATGTTGCTCAGATTGCTGTCAAACTCCTGGCCTCAAGCAGTCCTCCCACCTCAGCCTCCCAGAGTGTTAGGGTGCCACCATGTCTTGCTGCAGTATTTTTGTTTTGTTTTGTTTTTGACACAGGGTCACTGTCACCCAGGCTAGAGTGCAGTGATATGAACACAGTTAACTGCAGCCTGAGCCTCCTGGGCTCAAACAGTATTTCCATCTCAGCCTCCCTAGTAGCTGGACCCACAGGCATGCACCACCACACTCGGCTATTTTTTGGTAGAGACAGGGTCTTGCCATGTTGCCTAGGCTGGTCTTGAACTCCTAGCCGCCCACCTTGGCCTCCCAAAGTGCTGAGATTACAGACATGAACCACTGCACGTGGCCCAAGTCCTCTTAATACCTCCATTTAAAAAAAGAGATAGAGACTGACAGTTCGTACTTTGTTCAAGGTCAGACAGCTGGAGTCAGGACTGCAGCACAGATACCAGAAGCTGAGCTGGGACAATGCGCTTGTGACTTCCTCTCCAGTCAGTGGCTCCCATAGAGGGTAGTGCTATCCTCAACAGTTCGCCCTCCCTGAGCCTCATCTATCCCTCCTGGGGTCTTTCCCAAGCACTTTAAGCTCCTGTTGATGCAGACATAAAATCCAGAGCTAAGTCATTCCTCCATTTGCATCTGAGTCAATGTGGGCAATTTTTTAATCTCATTGCTTTGTTCTGCTCTAATACTCTAGAAATTTCCACCCTGGCTCCAGAGGAATCAGTCAGTAGACACTCTAGTATGTGTGTGTGTGAAATCCCATTTTCCTTTGAGCTCCCTTGACTGTTAGCAGAAGTAAAAAAAAGTCTTGGGTTGGCTGGGTGCAGTGGCTCACACCTGTAATCCTAGCACCTTGGGAGGCCAAGGCAGGTGGATCACTTGAGATCAGGAGTTTGAGACCAGCCTGCCAACATGGTGAAACCCTATCTCTACTAAAAATACAAATATTAGCCGGGCATTGTGGCAGGTGCTTGTAATCCCGTCTACTCAGAGGCTGAGGCACGAGAAGCTCTTGAGCCCAGGAGGCAGAGGTTGCAGTGAGCCAAGATCGTACTACTGCACTCCAGCCTGGGCAATAGTGCAAAACTCAGTCTCAAAAAAAAAAAAAAAAAAAAAAAAAAATTGCCTATGCAGGCAGATCATGAAGTCAGGAGAAACCCTGTCTCTACTAAAAATACAAAAAATTAGCCAGGCGTGGTGGCACGTGCCTGTAGTCCCAGCTACTTGGGAGGCTGAGGCAGAAGAATCGCTTGAACCCAGGAGGCAGAGGTTGCAGTGAGCTCAGATTGCGCCACTACTCGCCTTGGGCGACAGAGTGAGACTCTGTCTTAAAAAAAAAAAAAAAAAAAAAAAAATTCTTGGGTCTAGCTTTCAACAGAGATGATCACCACCACCACTCCTTCCTCAAAAATCCTGAAGGAATGAGATCCCTGCTCACAGCGTAAGGGTGAAAGGGGGCTCACAGAGGTGGGTGCTGGCTGCTGGCTGAATGGGCTTTCCCAGGAGGGGTTTTGTTATCTCTGTCTCCCAAAATGTGGGCGCCAACCCTGGCTTAGGCCTTCAGGTAGTTGGCTCCCTATGTCCAGGCTTGTATAAAGCCTTAGTATCAAGTTTTCGTGAGAGGTTTTACATCCCAAAGGATGTTACAGAGTCTCCTTGGGATGAAGGAGACTATGCATCCATAACCCATTGTATAAGAAGAGCAGTTTAACCTTTCAGAAAATGTTGACCACCCTCATATCTGGCAAAATGTGGTCATTTTTGCTTAATGCTTTTTACAAGCTTTTGCATGCAAAAGCTCCAGTATTGCGCTTAATTTTGCTTGCTTGCGTGCTCACTCTGAAGGGAGTTCAGATGACCATTACAGCAAAGTGGATTTTGTGTCCAAAGTGGCAAGCCAAGTATCAGAATTTTCCGAGTTTCTCTCTAGGACTGATGTTCAGAGGAAAGCCTTTCCTGACCCATATATGTTTCTCCATAAAAAAGAGGGAAAGTCGGCCGGGTGCGGTGGCTCAAGCTTGTAATCCCAGCACTTTGGGAGGCCAAGGCGGGTGGATCACGAGGTCAAGAGATCGAGACCATGCTGGTCAACATGGTGAAAACCCGTCTCTACTAAAAATACAAAAAATTAGCTGGGCATGGTGGCGCGTGCCTATAATCCCAGCTACTCAGGAGGCTGAGGCAGGAGAATCGCCTGAACCCAGGAGGCGGAGGTTGCGGTGAGCCGAGATCGCGCCATTGCGCTCCAGCCTGGGTAACGAGCGAAACTCCGTCTCAAAAAAAAAAAAAAAAAAAAAGAGGGAAAGTCAAACGGCTTTCTTTCTGGTGATATTTCTCAGCCATGCATATACTTTGTGAAGGTTTGTAGTGCAGATTTTTCTACCGAGTACAGAACATGTCGAGGCCCTTTGCGCTCCAGGATGGTGGGAAGTGCTGACCCAGGGCCTCCTTTCCTCTTCACTTAACTCTTCTGCAGGATCTCATGTACCAAGAGGGTTTAGACTTGCTCTCATGGGAAAACTTGACAGATACTTAATGTGGAGTAACAGCTTTGCATTTTAGGAAGAATAATTATGCTGTAATGGGGAGGATGGATAGAGTGAAAAATAGAATCAGGGAATCCAACTAAGAGGTTGCTGAATGGTGGCGATTTAGGCAAGAAATGATAGTCCAGGTCTGCCAGGCGCGGTGGTTCACGCCTGTAATCCCAGCGCTTTGGGAGGCAGAGGTGGGTGGATCACCTGGGGTTGGGAGCTCAAGACCAGCCTGACCAACATGGAGAAACCCCGTCTCTACTAAAAGTACAAAATTAGCTGGGCGTGATGGTGCATGCCTATAATCACAGCTACTCTGGAGGCTGAGGCAGGAGAATTGCTTGAACCTGCGAGGCAGAGGTTGTGGTGAGCCGAGATGTGCCATTGCACTCCATCCTGGGCAACAAGAACGAAACTCCCATCAAAAAAATAAAAATTAAAAAAAGAAAGAAACGATAGTCCAGGTCCTAGAACAGTCCCTAGAACACTAAATTTTTGATAGAGTGAGTGTCCTGAAAGTCAAGAGACTCCAGAACATTTCCAGGAGGAGGGAGGAACATTTCTTTTTTCCTCCCTTTTTATTTTTTTTAAAAAGAAATGGAGTCTCACTGTATCCCAGCCTCCGCTCAAACTCCTGGCCTCCAGTGATCATCCTGCCTCAGCTTCCCAAGGTGCTGGGATTACAGATGTAGGCTACCACACCTAGCCAGGAGAGATTCATATGAGAGTGCCATATGCTGAGGAAAGGTCAAGAAGTCTGTGAATCAGACAGCCCATTTATCCATCAACCAGGAAGGACACTGGTGTTGAGGTTGGCATACCTATGAAGGACAATAACTATTATGGCTTCCATTGTTTTGATGAAACCGCAGTTGCATGATCTCTTGTTTCATATTGCTGTATCCCTGTATAGAGGGTTGTAGCCCTCCATACGTTTGCTGTGACTGAACCAAGAAAGAAGGCATACGCAGATTTCTAGAGAAATTGTGATTCCATGAAAGTTTTTTTTGTGTGTGTGTGTGTGAGACGGAGTTTCACTCTTGTTACCCAGGCTGGAGCGCAATGGCGCGATCTCGGCTCACCGCAACCTCCGCCTCCTGGGTTCAGGCAATTCTCCTGCCTCAGCCTCCTGAGTAGCTGGGATTACAGGCACACGCCACCATGCCCAGCTAATTTTTTTTTATTTTTATTTTTAGGAGAGATGGGGTTTCACCATGTTCACCAGGATGGTCTCGATCTCTTGACCTTGTGATCCACCTGCCTCGGCCTCCCAAAGTGCTGGGATTACAGGCTTGAGCCACCGCGCCCGGCATATTTTTGTTTTTTTAATGCGAGTTCTCTGTCACCCATACTGGAGTGCAGTGGCATAATCGCTGCAGCCTCTTAACTCCCATGTTCAAGAGATCCTCCCACCTCAGACTTCCTAGCAGGTGGGGCTCCAGGGCCAGCCACCTAGCCTGGCTGATTCTATGAAAGATTTTGAGGAAATGATGAAGAAGCCTGGTATCTTTCAGAGTACAAAGTGATTTTGGAATGTAAACAGTTTCTTTGGGTTGAATTCCATAGAAGTTTATCACTAACCTATGTTCCTCAACTATGAAACATGAATATATGGGCAAAGAAATAGTTTCTCTTGATAAATAAACAACAACAAAAACAAAGTCTGTGAATTAGAGAACGTCCATGCCTTTTTAGGCCAGGCACAGTGGTTCAGGCCTGTAATCCCAGTACTTTGGGAAGCCAGAGTGGGCAGGTCACTTGAGGCCAGGAATTCAAGATTAGCCTGACCAACATGGCAAAACCCTGTCTCTACAGAAAATACAAAAATGAAGCAGGCATGGTGGTGCACACCTGTAGCCTCAGCTACTTGGGAGGCTGAAGTGGGAGGATTGCTTGAGCCTGGGAGGCTAAGTAAGGTTGCAGTGAGCTGTGATCACACCACTGCACTCCAGCCTGGGCTACAAAGCAAGACCCTGTCTCACAAAAAAAGAAAATAAAAGAAAACACCCATGTCTTTTTAAAAGTATGGAAAAAGTTTAAGTGTTCTCTAGATTTAGCCACACAGTATAATCTTAGGATGACAAGTTGAGCTGAGTTGGGTGGAGGTCAGGAAGAGCAAGTGACAGGAAGGGGCACTGTGATTAGGCGGTTTTGTTATTCCTTAGTTAATGGTGCCCTCTCAGTCCACCAGAGGGAAAGCCTTTAAAGGGATGTGGCTGGCTGGGCACGGTGGCTCACGCCTGTAATCCCAACACTTTGAGAGGTTGAGGCGGGTGGATCATGAAGTCAAGAGTTCAAGACCAGCCTGGCCAAGATGGTGAAACCCTGTCTCTACTAAAAATACAAAAATTAGCTGGGTGTGGTGGCAGGTGCCTGTAATCCCAGCTACTCAGGAGTCTGAGGCAGAGAAATGCTTGAATGTGGGATGTGGAGATTGCATCCTGGCCAGCCAAGATCGCGCCACTGCATTACAACCTGGCGACCAAGCAAGACTTTGTCTCAAAAAAAAAAAAAAAAAAAAAAAAAAAAAAAAAAAAAAAAAGGCACGTTGCCTTTCCATGGGTGTCATTTTTGAATGCATAGGCTCTGCTAGCTAAACTTTGAACTACTAAGGAATTGAGCCCGGCGTGGTGGCGCACCCCTGTAGTCACAGCTACTGGGGAGGTTGAGGCAGGAGGATTGCTGAGCTCAGGAGGTCCAGGCTTCAGTGAGCTATGATAGCGCATTCCACTGCACTCCAGCCTGGGCGACGCAGCAAGACCCCGTCTCAGAAAAAAAAAAAAAAGAAAAGAAAAGAATTGAGGAAAGGCAAACAGCTATTTGTTCTGAACATATGCTTGACCAAATTCCATGGCCCGGGGTTTAGGAAAAGATGGGAGTGCAGTGAGAACTGGCTTAGAAGCGGGAGGCCTGGAAGCCCCTTGATGCACGGGAGGAATCTGGCCTCGAGGCCGGCCAGCCTCAAAGGGCAAACACTATTGGCCCCCTCCAAGCAGGTTTGTCTGCGGGAAGGCCCCGCCCCCAGAACGTTTCTCCAATGAGGGCCACCCTCGTGTCCATGGCAACGGCGGCGGTGGCGGCAGCCGCGGGCCGGCTTAAGTAGGTGCTGCCCCTGCCGCCGCCGAGGCCGCCTGGATCTCGGAGCTAGGAGTGAACCCCTGCTGGGGAGCAGGTTTCCACTCGCGCTCGTGGGGACAGCCAGTCCTGTGAAACGAGGAGGCGGTTCCGGACGCCCAGAAACGCCCAGGGAGAACTGGAGCCGGGAGAAGAGGAGACACGAGCGGTCAGCTGAGTCCAGCCCCAGGCAGCTAGGGGAGGACCCAGCAGCCCCTCCGCTCTCCTCCGAACCACGGGTGGGCCGTCTCCGCCGTCACAGCCCAAAGGGTCTAAGCCATCGGTGCCTGGCCCGTGTGTACACGTGCGGAAAATGAGTCCTGGCCAGCCTAGGGGGACTTTGGTCTTCATCTGTATTTTATTTGTTGAGACAGTCTCCCTCTGTCACCCAGGCTGGAGTGCAGTGGTGTGCTCTCGGCCCATTGCAACCTCTATCTCCCAGGTTCAAGTGATTCTCCTGCCTCAGCCTCCCGAATAGAGTAGCTGGGACTACAGGCAGCATTACTACCATGCCCGACTAATTTTTGTATTTTCAATAGAGACGGAGTTTCACCATGTTTGTCAGGCTGGTCTCGAACTCCTGACGTCAAGTGATTCACCCTTCTCGGACTCCCGACGTGCTGAGATTATAGGCGTGAGCTACTGCGCCCCGCCTTCAGCTGTATTTTAAAGTGAAGCTGCCCCCAGCGCTCCCAGCCATCCTCCTTCCCAATCAGGAACAAAAGAGCTATGTTCATGGCCTGTGTCCAGCTCCTGACAGTTGTATGACCCAGTGTGATCCTGGATGATTGGGGCTTATCATCAGGGAATCCACATCACTGGCATCTTCCACCCCTACGCACCTCACCTACCTGGATACATCCCATTCCACAGTGAGACTGTTTTGTCCTGAAGGAACAGCAACATTCCCTTGTAACAGCAGGCAGGTCCTTCTGGTGGAATAACCTTCCGGGGCCTGAGGGAGATCTGATATACACTTCATTCCCCACCCCCTTCAGAATCTGAGAGGATGGAGCCGAGTACCTGGAGGACCACCGAATCAGAGGAACACTATGTTGAGGAAAAGGAATGCGAGAAGTGTGTGAAAGAGGAAGCTACCATCCCCTCTAACTCTTCACAGCAAGCTCTCTTAAAAGCTGACTATAAGGCCTTCAAAAATGGGGTTCCCTCACCCATTATAGCCACAGAAATTCCAAAGAAAGTCATAGCCCCAGTTGACACAGGCAACTTAGAAGCTGGGAGGAGGAAGAGAAGGCGGAAACGCAGGTAACCATTCCCTGGATCCCCTCCCTGCCCAGCTCCAGGGAGTCACCCACTGGCCTCCCTTCAGCATTTGGGGGAGCTGGGATCTAAGGTCTTCCCTTTAGCCTATAAAAGAGGACAGGAAAGGCTGGAGCGTCATTAACCCTTTGATACAACAAAAACAAAATTCAGAACCATTGAGGCTGACTCATTTTGGAATCCCAGCCTGTTGATATCATCCTGGTCTTTACTTCAAGTGGCATCTAGAGAAAAGGAACTGGGTTGTGAATTCGTTGGGTGTCTGTCCTTCCCTCCCACCCTGCCTGATGTATGCTATTCCTGCATTCCAGATCCCTGGCCATCAACCTGACCAACTGCAAGTATGAGAGCGGTAAGCACCTGGCCCGTCGCTCACACTGTGGTGCCTAAGAGGGCACCTGCGGCTGCTGTTCTTCCTCTGGAATGGACCCCCAAACAGGCTTCTAGCCCCCGGAGCCTGGCAGCCTTGCCTAGAACCTGCACTGAACTTCTAGGTGTCCTCTGCCTCAGATGCTGGCAGCTGAGACATTGCTGTTCCAGGTAGTCTCAGTGTTAGGGAGGGTATCGCTACAGTTAGCAAACAAGAAAAGAGAATGTCAGCCGGGCGCGGTGGCTCAAGCCTGTAATCCCAGCACTTTGGGAGGCCGAGGCCGGTGGATCACGAGGTCGAGAGATCGAGACCATCCTGGTCAACATGGTGAAACCCCGTCTCTACTAAAAGTGCAAAAAATTAGCTGGGCATGGTGGCACGTGCCTGTAATCCCAGCTACTCAGGAGGCTGAGGCAGGAGAATTCCCTGAGCCCAGGAGGCGGAGGTTGCGGTGAGCCAAGATCGCGCCATTGCACTCCAGCCTGGGTAACAAGGGCGAAACTCCGTCTCAAAAAAAAAAAAAAAAAAGAAAATATCCAAGAGCCACCACTGCCCCACCCTTCCCAGATTTTATTCATGTATTTCTGAGACAGCGTGTTGCTTTGTCATCCAGGCTGGAGTGCAGTATTGCGATCATAGCTTACTGCAGCCTTGAACTCCTGAGCTCAAACCATCGTCCTACCTCAGCCTCCCAGTAGCTGGGACTACAGGCCTGCACCACTATGCCCAGCTAATTCCTATTTCGTTTTCCTTGAGATGAAGTTTCACTCTGGTTGCCCAGGCTGGAGGGTAATGAGGTGATCTTGGCTCACTGCAATCTTCACCTCCCAGGTTCAAGCAATTCTCCTGCCTCAACCTCCTGAGTAGCTGGGATAACAGGCAAGTGCCACCACATCCAGCTAATTCTATATTTTTAGTAGATACGGAGTTTCACCATGTTGGCCAGGCTGGTCTTGAACTCCTGACCTCAGGTGATCCACCTGCCTCGGCCTCCCGAAGTGCTGGGATTACAGGCATGAGCTACCACGCCCAGCCTGCCCAGCTAATTCTAAGATTTTTATTGTAGAGACAGAGTCTTGCTATGTTTCCTCCACTGGTCTTGAACTCCTGGGCTCAAGTGTTCCTCCCGCTTCAGCCTCTCAATGCCGTTGGCTAACAGGCATGAGCTACCATGCCATCCCCTTTGGCAGATTAATTTACCAGAGATGAAACAAGGTTAAAACAGTTTTTTTTTCTTTCCTTTTTTTAAGATAGGGTTTCACCATGATGGCCAGGCTGGTCTTGAACTCCCGACCTCAGGTGATCCACGCACCTCGGCCTCCCAAAGTGCTAGGATTACAGGCCTGAGCCGCCACACCCAGCCAAAACAGGTTTTTCAAGGACAGTTTGAAGGGGCTTCAGCAATTAAGAAAAAAATGGCCACCTAGGTCCTTCCCCTAATATTCCCTCTGTCATCTGTGTAAGGGGCCATCTCAAATGTGGAGTGTGAAGTGCCAGTGTGATCCCCTACTATAGGCAGCTCTCCAAGCCATAAACAGCTCTGATTGAGAAAGAAGACTGACGGGAGCAGCCGGGCGCGGTGGCTCACGCCTGTCATCCTAGCACTTTGGGAGGCCAAGGCGGGTGAATCTTCTGAGGTCAGGAGTTCGAGATCCAGCCTGGCCAACACGGTGAAACCCCATCTCTACTAAAGATACAAAAATTAGCCAGTCGTGATGGTGCCCGCTTGGAATCCCAGCCACTCAGGAGGCTGAGTTACAAGAATTGCTAGAACCTGGGAGGCAGAGGTTGCACTGAGCTGAGACCACGCCATTGCACTTTTAGCCTGGGCAACAAGAGTGAGACTGTGTCTCAAAAACAAACCAAAAACAAAAGAACCAGGCTCTAGTTTTCTCTGCCAGATATTTTGGAAGGGCCCTGACAGCCCCCAAGAACTTGAAATTGCCATGTGGTCACCGAAGTCAGGGCCGAGGTGAGAACTACCTCCATCTTCAGCCTGCCCTCGGGTCAGGTGTGTGCCTTAGCTGACCCAGATCCACAGTTCCAGGGCTTGCTGCTGGTGTACTTGCTGGCACCACTGATCTCCCTGTCTCTGCAGTGCGTCGGGCAGCCCACATGTGTGGCCTGAAGGAGGCAGGGGAGGAAGAAGAGTGGACTGTGTACTGGACAGACTGCGCTGTCTCGCTGGACCGAGTCATGGAAATGAAGAGGTTTCAGGTACCAATCTCCTGGCCTAAGAGCCCACAGGACTAGCGTCCCAGAATGACTATTCCCATCTTCTTGCCCAGATACCCAAGACTGCTACTCTTTGTGGCTGCCCCCGCTGTGCAGACAGGAAAGACCCCCCCCCCCCACCAGGGTCTTCTTTTGCAATGGAAAGATCTCTTAGGTCTCTGGAATTACCCAAAGGAAGTGTCTGGTGGGCACATCCTGTCCCATTATTTGCGCTTTGCTTGGTGGCATCTATATGTAACTAGCCCTCTCCCGGTTGGGGGAGCCCATCTTAGGGAGAATACTGGAAGGCAGCTTCAGAGCTACCAGCAGGGCCAGTTGAATGATCCAGCCTTCTCAGCAACTTAGCTTAGCATTCCACATCCATTAGGAGACCTCGGGATCCAGGTTCAAGCAATTCTCCTGCCTCAGCCTCCTAAGTAGTTGGGATTACAGACACGTGCCAGCATACCCAGCTACTTTTGTATTTTTAGTAGAGACAGGGTTTCTCCATATTGATCAGGCTGGTCTCAAACTCCTGACCTCAGGTGATACACCCGCCTCAGTCTCCCAAAGTGCTGGGATTACAGGTGTGAGCCACCACGCCCAACCTGACCATACAAAAATTAGATGGGCATACAGGGTCTGTGCAACAGACCCTGTGTTAAGTGCTTTCATATTATTACCGCATTAAATCCTCAAGAACAGCCCTGAGCAGCAAATATCCCTTAGTTAGGACGTCAAGGGTCAGAAGTACTCAGTTCATACAGTGAGTGCAGCCAGTGATTGGGAAAGCCAGTAGTCTCAGTGTTAGGGAGGGTATCTAAGAGAGCACTTAGCAGGCTGGGCATGGTGGCTCACACCTGTAATCACAACAGTTTGGGAGGCCAAGGTGGGCGGTTCACCTGAGGTCGGGAGTTCAAGACCAGCCTGACCAACATGGAGAAACCCCGTCTCTACTAAAAATACAAAATTATCCGGGCATGGTGGCACATGCCTGTAGTCTCAGCTACTCAGGATGTTGAGACAGGAGAATCGCTTGAACCCAGGAGGCAGAGGTTGCAGTGAGCTGAGATCGTGCCATTGCACTCCAGCCTGGGCAACAAGAATGAAACTCCATCTCAAAAAAATAAAAAAAAAAAAAGTGAGCACTTAGCCTGCTCTTTGTGACTGTCCCCCTGTGCAGACGGGAAGGACCGCCCCCAGGGTATTCTTTTTCAGTGGAAGGATTCTCCTCTTGGGTCTCTGGAATTACCTGAAAGAAATGTCTGGTGGGCACATCCTATCTCATTATTTGCTCTTTGCTTGGTGGCATCTCAGATGCTGCCTCCCATCCAACAGGACAGAGCAGCCAGGGGTTTCTGGCAGGCACCAGGGCAATGCCACACCCTCTCTGGGTGTCATGGCACCATGGCACCACATTCCTTGAGGCTGGTTCTTAGCTTCCTTTTCTCATTTGTGTCTTTTGGGAAGTGCTTTCGTCTCATTGTCTGCTTTGTGCTATGGAGCAGCTGCTGTTGGTTTAGAACTAGGCCTGGTGGGCTGAGGGATGTTGGAAGGTGGCTGGAAGGCCCACAGTCTTGGCTGGTACATCCCTCCTTGCTGCCCCTCATTTGCTGAGCTCACTGTGGGCGTGTGTGTCAGGTAGAGGCCACAGAGGGGTTGCTCACCTGCCTTAGGGAATCTTCCTATTTTCGCCTTGGGGTCCTTGGTGCAGTGCTTACCTCCACTGTGACTTCTCCCTTCACCTTCCCAACCCTCCTCTAGGAACTGCCACTTACTCTGGGGCTAGTATAACTAACTGGCTGTGTTTCAGAAAATCAACCACTTCCCTGGCATGACAGAAATCTGTCGCAAGGATCTGCTGGCTCGGAACCTCAACCGCATGCACAAACTCTACCCCTCTGAGTACAACATCTTCCCCCGCACCTGGTGCCTCCCCGCAGAGTGAGTGGGTGGCTTCCCATACTGAGATACCACGGGGAGGAACAGGGTCGCTCTCAGAGTTCCCTCCAGACTCTGGCCTTGTGACCTAGGAATGTCTCAGAGGGATGGAAGTGGAAAAAAGTTTCAGCGGGCCAAAGAAAAGAGGGTCTGAGACTGAGGGCTCCACGAAGAGCATGGACTAGATAGCAGGAAGAGCTCCATGGGGCCCTGGGCCAGCCATGATACACAGAAACCTTTTGACCAGGCCCTCTCTGCACATAGCTATGGGGACTTCCAGTCCTATGGTCGTCAGCGAAAAGCCCGCACATATATCTGCAAGCCAGACAGTGGCTGTCAGGGACGTGGCATCTTCATCACCCGAAATCCCCGGGAGATCAAGCCAGGAGAGCATATGATCTGCCAGCAATACATCTCCAAGGTGAAGGATGCCTCAGGACCATCAGCCTTCCCCAGCCCCCAGCACTGGGCTGCCTCTTCTCTCCCAAAGCCAGGGGTAGAGGCTGGTTTTAAGCTTCTACCCCTCCCACTAGACCCATTTTCCTGGAGGCAGTATCCAGCCAGGGTTCAGAACCAGCCTGCCTGGGGTTGAATCTCAGCTTTCCACTTCCCAGATATGTGACCTGGGGCAAGTTTCTTACCCTTTCTGTGTTTCTGTCTCCTCATTTATTTTATTTATTTATTTATTTTAATTTTTATTTATTTTTTTTGAGATGGAGTCTCACTCTGTTGCCCAGGCTGGAGTGCAGTGGTGCAATCTTGGCTCGCTGCAACCTTAGCCTTCCAGGTTCAAGTGATTCTCCTGCCTCAGTCTCCTGAGTAGCTCGGATTGCAGGTGCCCCACCACCATGCCCAGCTAATTTTTGTATTTTTAGTAGAGATGGGGTTTCACCATCTTGGCCAGGCTGGTCTTGAACTCCTGACCTCGTGATCCACTCACCTTGGCCTCCCAAAGTGCTGAGATTACAGGTGTGAGCCACTGCACCCAGCCTCTTATCATTTATTAAGTGGGAGTAATAACAATTACTATTTTACTTGGTTGTTGTGGAAATTCAACGAGCTGTGTATATGAAGCACATAGTAGGCACTTGAAAAGTGTTGTTATTCCCTCATGGATTTGCATGCTCCCAGCCCTTCCTCATTGATGGCTTCAAGTTTGATATGCGAATCTACGTCCTGATCACATCCTGTGACCCTCTCCGGATCTTCATGTATGAGGAGGGCCTGGCCCGTTTTGCCACCATGCCCTATGTGGAGCCCAGCCATAACAACCTGGTAAGGGGGCTGGGAAGCACTCTTCCCTTCCACTGCCATGAGTACTGAGGTTCTCTAGAGAAACATGGTAGAGCCAGGTGTGGTGGCACATGCCTGTAGTCCCAGCTACTCGGGAGGCTGAGGCTGGAGGATCGCTTGAGTCCAGGAGATCTGGGCTGTAGTGCACTATGCTAATCAGGTGTCTGCACTAAGTTTGACATAAATATGGTGATCTCCCGGGAGCGGGGGACCACCAGGTTGCCTAAGGAGGGGTGAACCGGCCCAGGTCGGGAACAGAGCAGGTCAAAACTCCCATGCTGGTCAGTAGTGGGATCGCGCCTGTGAGTAGCCACTGCACTCCAGCCTGGGCAACGTAGCAAGACCCCATCTGTAAAAAAAAAAAAAAAAGAGAGAGAGAAACACTCTCTCTCTCTAGGTAGAGAGGTTAGTCACTGTCACCAGAGAACAAGGAATGAAGCCAGAGAGAGCTGCAGCATCTGGCTAGGAGGTGAGCGTTTGGTGGGTGGTGACTGAGAAAAGGTCAGCACTCGGAGGAGTCCAGCTTGCCCTCTTGCCCAGGATCATCCAGAAGAGCTAACCCTCTCTCTGGTGGAGAAAGACAGATGAGAGATCCTGGGGAGGAATGGGGAGTAACGAGGCAATGAAGGGCTGGAGAGGATGGCCGCATGCAGACAGTCTGAGACCACAGGGCCGCTCTCTCCACAGGACAATGTCTGCATGCACCTGACCAACTATGCTATCAACAAACACAATGAGAATTTTGTCCGGGATGGTGCTGTGAGCAGTAAGAGGTAATCCCTCCTGTTTTCTCCTGCTTCCTCTACCCCTTGGCCCCATAGTCCCAGTAGCCCATGAAACCAAGTTGGCTCTTAGGAGGCTAATTGCCCAGGGAAACTCGGTCTTATAGACCCTGTCCTGCACCTGCACTTTGGAGCACTAAATGAGCCCCAACCCCACCCTGATAACTAGCCCCTGGTCCAGACTGCTAGCAGCCCTTCAGAGCCAGGGTATGCATTTAGGGTTAGTTTGAGGGAGCCTCCTGCCTACAGCCTGGCCCCAGTGGCCTAGACATTGGCCTTCCTCTGAGCACTGGGCCTTGCAGGAAGCTGTCAACACTCAACATCTGGCTGCAAGAGCACAGCTACAACCCTGGAGAGCTGTGGGGGGACATCGAGGACATCATCATCAAAACCATCATCTCAGCCCATCCTGTTCTTCGCCACAACTACCGAACCTGTTTTCCCCAGTATCTGAGTGGAGGTACATGTGCCTGTTTTGAGATCCTTGGTTTTGACATCTTGCTGGACCACAAGTTGAAGCCTTGGCTGCTAGAGGTGAGGATTATCTCCTAGACTTGGCAAAAACAAGGTCCAGAGGCCTCCTTGAATAGGACACCTAGGCAGGGGTATACTCAGGTGGTGAGACACAGAATGGGAGATGCAGAAGCCCTGGGGTGGGTGGGAATCTGCAGAAGCCGTAAGATCTCTACCTTTTTGATCTGCTGAGTCAAATCTTGGTGGTTTCTGGCTTCTACCATAGGAATGCAGGTTTTAGATCCCCAGTGCCCTAATGTAAACCTTTAGGGACACACTGTCCACAGAGGCAGGCAGGCTGATTTGCTCTCACAGGTCTGCAACTTGGAGGGATGGCTATGGCAGAGTTTTGTGGTCTTGGAAGCCAGAGCATCCGGCCCCTCTGGCTGAGGCCATGTGAGAGGAATATCTTAGACCTTCTAGTAATGCCTGCAGGCGGCCACCACCTGCTCAGGCGGTTGAGGAAAGGGGTATATAATGACTCCTCCTGGCAGGTAAATCACTCTCCAAGCTTTACCACGGACTCACGCCTTGATCAAGAGGTAAAGGATGCACTTCTCTGCGATGCTATGATGCTTGTCAACCTCCAGGCCTGTGACAAAAGGAAGGTGATGGAGGAAGAGAAGCGACGAGTCAAGGAGCGGCTTTTCCAGTGCCACCAACAGCCACGAGAATCTAGGTGTGCTAGGCGCCTGGCATGTGTTCAGTTCTTCATGATTACTTCCTGAGAGTAAAAGGCTTTATTTAGATGGAGAATGTGGCCTGGGCCTGACTGGCTATTAAAAACTTTTTGCATAGATAATACATTCATATTTGCATTAAAAAATCATAGGGCCAGGCTTGGTGGCTCATGCCTTGTAATCCCAGCACTTTGGGAGGCTGAGGTAGGAGGATTGCTTGAGCTCAGGAGTTCAAGGTCAGACTGGGCAATATGTAAGACCCTGTCTCTAAAAAACAAAAAAGAAAGAAAATAATAATTAAAAAATAAAAAATTAGCTGGGCATGGTGGCATGCTTGTATTCCCAGCTACTCAGCAGGCTGAGGTTTTGAGCCTGGGAGATTAAGTCTGCAGTAAGCCATGTTTGCACCACTGCACTCCAGCCTGGGCAAACGAATGAGAAACACTGCTTCCAAAAAAAATAAAAACTAGATGCAGTGGCTCAGACCTGTAATCCCAGCACTTTGGGAGGCCAAGACGGGTGGATCACTTGAGGTTAGGAGTTTGAGACCAGCCTGGCCAACATGGTGAAACCCCGTCTCTACTAAAAATACCCCAAAAAATCAGCCAGGCATGGTGGTGAACGCCTGTAGTCCCAGCTACTCAGGAGGCTGAGGCATGAGAGTCACTTTAACTCAGGAGGCGGAGGTTGCAGGGAACCGAGATCATGCCACTGCACTCCAGCCTGGGTAACAGAGCAAGACTCTCAAAACAAAAACAAACAAAATATCATATATCACAGATATGTTCAAAATCTTAAAAATACAGAGGATAGTGTTCTCCTTCCCTTCTGTAGCTACTCAGTTTTCCTCCCTGGAGCCAACAACATTCCCACTATCATGTGTAGAGGGTATGCATTTAATAGATATATGTATTTATACCAAATATTTTTCTCCCTGCCCACTGAGACAAGAGGCATAACTTTCGCACACTCTGCACCCTGCTTTGCAGTGTATTTTAGAGCCATTCTCGAATTAGCACATAAGGAGCTTTCTGTGGTTTGATTTGCTGGTTTGTTTTTCTAACAAAGCTCCTTTAGAAACCAGTTCCTGAGAAACTTTGTAATAAAGGAACACAGAAAACAGCTTAGTCATTCAATAATAGAGAATTGTTTATTTCTGTGTCGCTCACCCATTGTTGTTTTCTTTGTAAAATGAGTTACAAACATGGTGATTGGTTACTGATACTAAAATTGTAAATTGTTAAATGATACATACAAATGAGTTTGAGTAGATGGCTGCTTATCACTATGAACACAGTGCTCCTCCCTACTTGCATTCGGATACGCAGGGGCAGTGTGTGTTTGATTCCCCATGAGGAATCAAACATGCAGGGCCTGGCCCATCGTAAGCACTCAGATGTCTGCATGATGAATGGGAGTGAAGTAGGACTGTAAATACGCTGGCTATTCCCACAAGACTGGACTGTGTACCTGAGGGTCATAAAATGTGTCTTTTTTTTTTTTTTTTTTTTTTTGAGATGGAGTGTCACTCAGCTCACTGCAACCTCCGTCTCCCAGGTTCAAGTGATTCTCCAGCCTCAGTCTCCCAAGTAGCTGGGATTACAGGTATGCAGCACCATACCTGGCTAATTGTTGTATTTTATTTTTATTTTTGAGACAGAGTCTCACTCTACTGCCCAGGCTGGAGTGCAGTGGCACGATGTCAGTTCACTGCAACCTCCACCTCCCGGGTTCAAGCAATTCTTCTGCCTCAGCCTCCTGAGTAGCTGGCACTACAGGCACGGGCCACCACGCCTTGCCAATTTTTGTATTTTTAGTAAAGACGGGGTTTCACCATATTGGCCAGGTTGGTCTGGAACTCCTGACCTTGTGATCCACCTGCCTCAGGCATTTCAAAGTGCTACGATTAGAAGCCACCGTGCCCAGACAATTGTTGTAGAGATGGGATTTCGCCATGTTTGCCAGGCTGGTCTCAAACTTCTGACCTCAGGTGATCCACCTGACTTGGCCTCCCAAAGTGCTGGGATTATAGACGTGAGCCACTAGGCCAGACCAAAATGTGTCTTTCAATAAGCAAAAGTACTGGACTAAATAAACAGTGCTGGACTAAATAAACAAAATACAATCATATGCTAGAGTACTAGGCAGCCATTTAAAAATATTGTGGTGGCCAGGTGCGGTGGCTCACACCTGTAATCCCAGCACTTTGGGAGGTAGAGGGAGGTGGATCACTTGAGGTCAGGAGTTTGAGACCAACCTAGCCAACATGGCAAAACCCTGTTGCTACAAAATATACAAAAATTAGCCAGGTGTCGTGGTGCACACCTGTGTTCCCAGCTACTCGGGAGGCTGAGGTGGGAAGATGGCTTGAGCCTGGGAGGCCAAGGTTACAGTGAGCTAAGATTGCATTACTTCAGCCTAGGTGACAGAGTAAGATCTTGTTTCAAAAAAAAAAAAAAAAAAAAAATTAAATTAAAAAATAAATATATTCTTGTATGATTTCATTTTCATCTTTAAAAAAGCAAGAAAGCAGCCGGGCGCGGTGGCTCAAGCCTGTAATCCCAGCACTTTGGGAGGCCGAGGCGGGTGGATCACGAGGTCAAGAGATCGAGACCATCCTGGTCAGCATGGTGAAACCCCGTCTCTACTAAAAATACAAAAAATTAGCTGGGCATGGTGGTGCGTGCCTGTAATCCCAGCTACTCAGGAGGCTGAGGCAGGAGAATTGCCTGAACCCAGGAGGCGGAGGTTGCGGTGAGCCGAGATCGCGCCATTGCACTCCAGCCTGGGTAACAAGAGCGAAACTCCGTCTCAAAAAAAAAAAAAGAAAGAAAGAAAGCAGCTGGGCGCAGTGGTTCATGCCTGTAATCCCAGCACTTTGGGAGGCTGAGGCAGGTGGATCACCTGAGGTCAGGAGTTCAAGACCAGGCACCTGGGCGACAGAGCAGGACTGTCTGTTGCCCAACCTCCAGCCTGGGCAACAGAGCAGGACTCCATAAAAAAAAAAAAAATTAGCTGTCTGTGGTGGTGCGCATCTGTAGTCCCAGCTACTCAGGAGGCTGAGGCGGGAGAATTGCTTGAACCCAGCAGGGGGAGGTTTCAGTGAGCCGAGATCGTGCCACTGCATTCCAGCCTAGGGACAGAGTGAGACAATGTCTCAAAAAAAAAAAAAAAAAAAAAAAGGCAAGCAAGCACAAGCTAGTGAGTGGCAGAGCCAGGATTCAAAGTCAGGAGGTCCTCCTGTCCTAGATCCGTGCTCATAACCAACATGCTAATTGCATAATAAGATTATAGGAAGCTTTTTTTTTTTTTTTGAGACGGAGTTTCGCTCTTGTTGCCCAGGCTGGAGTGCAATGGTGCGATCTCGGCTCACCACAACCTCCGCCTCCTGGGTTCAGGCAATTCTCCTGCCTCAGCCTCCTGAGTAGCTGGGATTACAGGCACGCGCCACCATGCCCAGCTAATTTTTTGTATTTTTAGTAGAGACGGGGTTTCACCATGTTGACCAGGATGGTCTCGATCTCTTGACCTCGTGATCTACCCGCCTCGGCCTCCCAAAGTGCTGGGATTACAGGCTTGAGCCACCGCGCCCGGCATATGGGAAGCTTTATCTTCTTTCTGCTCTTCTAAATTTTCTGTAATGAATGTATATTATTTGTTTTCTCCTTTTTTGAGACAAGTCTCACTCTGTCGTCCAGGCTGGAGTACAGTGCCACGATCTTGGCTCACTTGAACCCACCTCCTGGGTTCAATAAAATTTTCCTGCCTCAGCCTCCCAAGTAGCTGGGACTACCGGCACATGCCACCACGCCCAGATAATTTTTTTTTTGAGAGAGTTTCACTCTTGTTGCCCAGGCTGGAGTGCAGTGGCGCGACCTCGGCTCACTGCCACCTCTGGCCCCCAGATTTAAGCAATTCTCCTGCCTCAACCTCAACCTCGTGAGTAGTTGGGATTAAAGGCATGCGCCACCATGCCCAGCTAATTTTGTATTTTAGTAGAAACAGGGTTTCTCCATGTTGGTCTGGCTGGTCTCAAACTCCCGAACTCAGGTGATCCACTCGCCTCAGCCTCCCAAACTGCTGGGATTACAGGCGTAAGCCAATGCACCCAGCCAATTTTTGTATTTTTAGTAGAGACTGGGTTTCACCATGTTGGCTGGGATGGTCTCCATCTCTTGACCTCATGATCTGCCCACCTCGGCATTTCAAAGTGCTGGAATTACAGGTGCGACCCATTATGCCCGGCCAAATTTTTGTATTTTTAGTAGAGACTGGGTTTCACTATGTTGACCAGACTGGTCTCAAACTCCCAACCTCAAGTGATCCACCCACCTCAGCCTCCCAAAATGCTGAGATTACAGGCCCAGCCACATTTTTTTTTTTTTTAATGAAAAGCTTACATCAAAACATGTTACTTTTACAATCAGAAACCTGAAAGACTATAACGGAGTGCTAGCTTACAAGTAGACCCCTCTCCACTACTTGTAAAGAAAATTACGAGTAGTGATGAAAATCAGGCCAGGTGCGGTAGCTCGCGCTTGTAATCCCAGCATTTTGGGAGGCCAAGGTGGGTAGATCACTTGAGGTCAGGAGTTTGAAACCATCCTGGCCAACATGGTAAAACCCTGTCTCTGATAAAAACATAAAAATTAGTCAGGCGTGGTGGTGCATGCCTGTAAACCCAGCTACTTGGGAGGCTGAGGTAGGAGAATTACTTAAATCTGGGAGGCAGAGGTTACAGGGAGCCAAGATTGTGCCACTGCACTCCAGCCTGGGTGACAGAGCAAGACTCTGTCTCAAAAAAGAAAAGAAAATTAGATCTCTGGAAGTCAAGCCTATTTTCATGGCTGCACACATGTGGGGCCGGCCAAAGTTGGTCTGGCAGTTTTTCCTACTTAGGCAGGGGCCCAGGAGGTCAAGAAGCCAGCAGGAGGGTCTCCAAAGCTCAGCCAGTCTTCTTTTCCCTACTGAACATCCATCCCCACAGCCCTCCTCTGACTAATTGAGCTTGCTTTCCACAGGAAAGAAAAAACTGAGCCATCCCAAGTGGCAATGCTGGACCAGGAACAATATGAGGATTCCCACCTGGGAAAATACCGGCGCATCTACCCTGGGCCTGACACCGAGAAGTATGCCCGCTTCTTCAAGCACAGTGGCTCCCTCTTCCAGGAGACTGCTGCTTCCAAGGCCAGAGAGGAGTGTGCCAGGTACTATGACCGACACTCTCCTCTGCACACCTAGGTGGGGACAAGTCCTGCAGCAGCATTGCTCCCCAGCAGGGAAGCCAGACACTTGAGGAAGGAGGAATGGAGCTATAATCCTATCCGACTCTTAGTGGCTCTTTTCAGTTTAGGTTTCCTATCTTCCCCCTCATTGCTCTCCCATCAGTCCAAAAAACAGATTGTAATTTCCTATTCCTACTCTTTCCCCATCTCCATTTTCCTCACCTCTCTTCTCCCCAACACCAGTTCCCTCGTGTCTGAAGCTGCTGTGTCTTGTCAGGCAGCAACTGGAGGAGATCCGCCTGAAGCAGGAACAGCAGGAGAACTCATGCACGAAGAGGCAAAAGGCCAAGGACCAGAACCAGGGGGAATCCGCTGGGGAGAAGAGCCGGCCCAGGCCAGGGCTCCAGAGCCTTTCCACACGCTTGGTTTACAGGAACCACAATTGGGAGAAACAGGTGTCAGGGGTTTTGTGGCTCTTCTCTTTCTGCAGGAAAGTGGGGTGGGACAAGTAGAGAGGGGAATCTCTGCTGTCCTCTCCCTTTGCATGAGAGAGGGGAGTTTCTTTTTTTTTCTTTTTTTTTTTTTTTTTTTTTTTGAGACGGAGTTTCGCTCTCGTTACCCAGGCTGGAGTGCAATGGCGCGATCTCGGCTCACCGCAACCTCCGCCTCCTGGGTTCAGGCAATTCTCCTGCCTCAGCCTCCTGAGTAGCTGGGATTACAGGCACGCGCCACCACGCCCAGCTAGTTTTTTTGTATTTTTTTTTTTTTTTTTTTTTTTGAGACGGAGTTTCGCTCTTGTTACCCAGGTTGGAGTGCAATGGCGCGATCTCGGCTCACCGCAACCTCCGCCTCCTGGGCTCAGGCAATTCTCCTGCCTCAGCCTCCTGAGTAGCTGGGATTACAGGCACGCACCACCCCGCCCAGCTAGTTTTTTGTATTTTTAGTAGAGACGGGGTTTCACCATGTTGACCAGGATGGTCTCGATCTCTCGACCTCGTGATCCACCCACCTCGGCCTCCCAAAGTGCTGGGATTACAGGCGTGAGCCACCGCGTCCGGTGGTAGAGAGGGGAGTTTCTAATCAGTAAATTGAATCTGGCCCTTTGGAAGAAGACGTGAGAGGCTGGAGAGCAAAAGGAACTGTACTGCGTCGGGGAAGGGATGAGGGTAGAGCAGGCAGGAGGCCTGCAGCCATCCTGGGTGATGGTTCGGGACTCATCCTTGGAGATCCTGCATTTATCTCTCATGTACCTTGTAGCTGCTGCCGGGACAGCTGGACACCATGAGGCCTCAAGAGATTGTGGAAGAGGAAGAGCTGGAGCGGTTGAAGGCCCTCCTACAAAGGGAGACGCTCATCCGAAGCCTGGGTATTGTAGAGCAGCTCACCCGCCTGCAGCACCCTGGCCCCCATGGCCAGAAAAAACTTCATGAGTGTCGGGTGAGGGTCCCCGTGAAGCCTCCCAGAGGAAAAGGGAACAAGGGCTGTTGTCCTAGCACGTGGTTGTGGCCTCACCAAAGGAGGCTTGTGTGATGGTGTCTGTCAGTGGAGACTGGGAAAGCAGAATGCGCTGGCAGAGCCTTGGGAGAGGGTCTGTTGATTCCTTTTGCGTCTATTCCCAAGCTCCTTTGTTTTAGGTATGACATCCAGAAAAGTGCAGCTCCAAACCCTCTCATTGACAAGAAACTTACTCTCTATATTCCTGTCCCAAAATAACCCCACACTCCTGACTGACAAATTTCAAGGCCACCACCCTCAGTGGCTTCTGTACTCTTTTCTCCCTAGCCAGTGCTCTGGCTCTCATGGGAGATAAGTAAACAGTCTTGGGCCAACAAAACAGCTGCCGCTTTCACTGTTCCCTGGGCTAGTAGCAAACCTGTTGGGTCTTCTGTTTTTGTTGAACACCAAAGGAGTATCTGGTTAAACAGTGGCCATGGCCTAGAAGAGATTTTTTTCAGTTACCTCCTTCTTCCAATGCTCCATCCAAACTCAGATAAACATGTGGTAAGGGACTGCTCTTCTCCTCTAGCCTAGATTTCATTAGGGCAGGCTGGGCAGTCAAGAACAGGTGTGAGAGTCTGGTCCTATTGGTGCTCCTAAGAGGGGCTGCCACAGAGCGGGGCCCTTTTCATTTCCTGCATCCAGTTCTGCCCCATGAATCAATCCCCAGGATCTTAGGGCCACTGCTAAGCATGAATGCTGCAATCCCACATGTTCCCTGGTGCCATCTGCAGCCCAAGAACTTCAACTGGACAGGAGAGCCAGCAGCCATCAACTCCTATTCATTGTCAGTGAAGAAGGCTGGGAGGTGCTATTTTTCCAGTGCCAGAATCAGGCTCACTAGCCGTAAGTATGCAAAACTAGCTTTGGTCACTTGGACCTGTGTAAATGCCACTAGTAAACATAGAGCTTGGAGGCTCCCAAAATACAATATGGCACTTCCACCAGAGTGAGAATGGGGAAATCAGGGTATCCATTTATTTACTCCTTTCTTTTTTGTTTTTTTGAGACAAGGTCTCTATCTGTTGCCCAGGCTGGAGTACAATGGCTTGACCTCACCTCACTGCAACCTCTGCCCACGGGCTCAAGCAATTCTGCCTCAGCCTCCTGAGTAGCTGGGACTACAGGCACACACCACCATGCCTGGCTAACTTTTGTATTTTTTATTTTCACCATGTAGCTCAGGCTGGTCTTGAACTCCTGAGCTCAGGTGATTTGCCCACCTCCACCTCCCAAACTGCTAGGATTACAGGTGTGAGTCACCGCAGCAGGCCTGTTTAATCCTTTCTGTACGGTAGACCCTGGTGATAGAAATGGCAAAAATACAGTCCTGGCACTCAACAAAGGTAACAGGAACATGGACAAGTAGACATACCATTCCAATGGCAATACAGTGTGGTAAAGACAGTGGAGGGATGCATGGGATGCCCTTTTTCTGTGTCATTGGGCCACAGTTGGGAAGGAGGTGAGCAGATCTCTTCCCTGAGTACCAACTGAGGGACATCCATGTTTCCACTGCAGAAGGCCAAGCCAGCAGAAGGCTAGAAGCCATAAACCGAGTCCTGGCAGGATCAGTGCCACCCACTTTAACCCCAAAGCAGAGCTATCTTCTGCAACCGGAAAGGGTGGCATCTGACTCCTGGGCTGAATGCACCTTGCCCTCCGTGGTAAACTCTGAACACAGAGCAGCCAAGGTTCCCCTCTGCCCTGCGTCTGCACCGGTGCTGCAGCGTTCCAGAACACTCTTCGACATCAGTCAGTTCAGGTAAAAGCAGGAGGGAAGCCCAGCACTCTACCTCTCCTGGAGAACCTCCCCAGGTTTCCAAAGCGGAAAAGGGCATTCGATCTGTGCTAAATGAAAGATTGCCACCAGGCCGGGCGCGGTGGCTCAAGCCTGTAATCCCAGCACTTTGGGAGGCCGCGGCGGGTGGATCACGAGGTCAAGAGATCGAGACCATCCTGGTCAACATGGTGAAACCCCGTCTCTACTAAAAATACTAAAAATTAGCTGGGCATGGTGGCGTGTGCCTGTAATCCCAGCTACTCAGGAGGCTGAGGCAGGAGAATTGCCTGAACCCAGGAGGCGGAGGTTGCCGTGAGCCGAGATCGCGCCATTGCACTCCAGCCTGGGTAACAAGAGCGAAACTCCGTCTCAAAAAAAAAAAAAAAAAGAAAGAAAGATTGCCACCAAGTTCCACTTGGAAAAGCCCTGCCCAGGAACCCCATTTGCATTAGGCAAAATACAAAGACACCAAGAATTCCTCAATACCCTAAGATTATTTGGGGATCGGGAAAGCCTAGAAGATGAAGAGGCGCCAAGGACAAGCGTTAGCCTGGGTTTGACGCTAGGTGATGGGTCTGAACCCTAGGTGCGGCCCGGGGGTGAAGGCCATCCAAGAGACAAAGAGCCCCTTTCTCAGAAGAGCCGAGTGCCCAAGTCATGGGGCTGTCGCTGTCAGAAGACCGCTGAGCGGAAGCCCTGCCCACGGCGGTAGCGGAGACAGGCAGGCCTGGGCAGCCGCTGGGGCGGAGAGACGGCGCTTGGAAGCTGAATCCGTTTTTTAATTAAAGTTTATGCCGTTTTCCAGGCGTGTCCTGTGCCTCATTTCGGCCCTCGCGTTTCAGGGAAGCCGTCCCAACGGCTACAGCCAGAAGGGTGGGCCAAAGAGCGGCGCAGGCCCAGATCTTCCCCAAACCACGTGAGGCAGGAAATACTTGCTATCACCCAGCTTCCGGCCCGCCCTTTCCACTTCCGGTTCTACCCCTCTACTTCCGCTGCCGTCTCGTAGCGGACTATTGAAGACTAGTTCGCGTCGACATGGCGGTTATCCTGAGGCTCTTGCTGGGCGGCCGCGTTCGCGCTGCCGTTGCTCGCTGTGGGTTTGCGACCCGGGGAGTGGCGGGCCCAGGCCCTATCGGCCGAGAGCCGGACCCCGATACCGACTGGGAGCCGGAGGAACGGGAGCTGCAGGAGGTGGAGAGGTACCGGCTTCTCCCCGGGCCCTCAGCTTGAAGCAGGGCCTCGCGCCCCGGAGCCCTAGGCTGCGCCCTCTTGGCGCTGGGCGTCCTGGGGCTGCTTGCGCGACCTCCCTGATTCCTTCTTAACCGTTGTCAGGGGCGCAGCGTCAGGTGTTCAGCTCCCCAGGGACCTCTGGTCCCTTCACTAGTGACATATTTCATCACCAGTATAGAAAGTTCCGGATCTCACGGGCAGTTACTGTGTTCTAGGTGTTAGCTTTTGGGTGTACAGAGCAGCTCTAAGCAGGCAACATGGCCCGGTTGCCCTTGAATCCAAGAGAAGAGGGCTGGGCGCTCCTGATTTAGCCTGAGGCTCTTCAGACATCCGTTCTGCGTCCACGCATGGCTTCTGCCCTTGGTTCTTTCCCCCAGCATCCTGAAACGACAGAAAAAAGCAATCCGATTCCAGAAAATTCGAAGGCAAATGGAGGCGCCTGGTGCTCCGCCCAGAACCCTGACGTGGGAGGCTATTGAGCAGATCCGGTAAGACTCAGTGCACCTCCTGTGTTTCTGTTGTGATGAGAAGTGAAGGATAACGGAGCCCAGAACACGGGTTTGGCTTTTTTGATACTGCTTTTATATTTTTGTTTACTTTTTGTCGTTGAAATTTATTATCAGGAAAGTAGAGTAATGTAACGAACTTCCATGAACCTGTTGTCATCTAGATTTAATAGTGTTTTGTTTTGATTTTTAAAGAGACGGGGTTTCGCCATGGTCTCAAACTCCTAACCTCAAGTGATCCTCCCGCCTGGGCCTCCCAGAGTGCTGGGTTGTGTCCAGCCTGGATTTAATAGTTTTTTTTTTTTTTTTGGGTTACGCAACTGGAAAGATTTAATAGTTCTTAACGTCATGCCATGGTTGGTTCATTTTTGCTGACATTTTAAAAAATAGTAAATTGCAGACATCACAACATTTAAGCCCTGAATGGTAGATCATAACCTTCTCAACCTAAGGTCCAGGGATGCTGGTGCTTCCATAGTTAGGTGCATTTTTCTGAATAGAGGATCCATAATTTAGGGAAGCTTAAAAGGGATTTTAAGGTTTTTTTTGTTCTGAGTAGGTAAAGCATTACATGATGGCTTACGGTCTTAACAGTATAACATGGTATAGGCATTGAGAATTATTTGTCCCACCCACTCGCCTGTGGGTATTTTTTCACCCCCACAGATCACTGCAGCCTCTACCTCCTGAATAGGTGGGACTACAGGTGCATGCCACCATGCCTGGTTAATTTTATTTTTTGTAGAGATGGTCTCATCATGTCGACAAGGCTTGTCTCCAATTCCCCAGCTCAAGCAATCATCCCATCTTGGCCTCCTAAAGTGTTGGGATTACAGGCATGAGCCATTGTGCACAGCTGTACTATTTTTAATAGTTTTTCTCTGCAAAAAAAGCCAGGCTCCGTGCCCTGAGTGAGCCACTGTGCCTGGCCCTCAATTCTTTTTTATAGATGGCATTATTATAGTTTTTTGAGGCAGTATAAGATAGTGGTTTTTAATTGAATTTTTATTTAAACATTGTTTTCCTCCTTTCTGTTTAACAGAGATGGGGGTTTCACTATGATGACCAGGCTGGTCTCAAACTTCTGGCCTAAAGTGATCTTCCCATCTCAGCCTCCCGAAGTGCTAGGATTAGAGGTGGGAACCACCACGCCTGGCCAGGATGCATTATTTAACATGTCTTTTGTTATGGGCATTTAGTTAGGCTATTTCCATTTCTGTTGCTCACTAATAGTGCTCCAGTGAATAATTTTGTTTATGTATCATTCTACATACTTGTCAGGAATATTTGTTAAATACGTTCCCAGAAGTAAGGTTGCCAGGTCAAAAGACAAATGTATTTGCATTTTGATAAATATTGCTAAGTAGCCCTACATAGGTTATGTCCTATTTTTCATTTCCATCAGAATGACTCTGTAATTGAAATTTAAAAGGGGATTCTGTAGAGCTGTTCAAGATTTTGTGAGCCTGTAGCACCTTCTGGGTCCTCGGTCAGGTCTATCTTCTTTTTTCTTTTTTATTTGTTTTTGTTTGAGATAGTCTCACTCTGTCTTCCAGGCCAGAGTGCAGTGCTGAAATCTCAGTTCACTGCACCCTCTGCCTCCAGGGTTCAAGAGATTCTTGGGTCTCAGCCTCTCGAGTAGCTGGGATTTCAGGTGTGCACCCCCACAACTGGCTAAGTTTTGTGTTTTTAGTAGAGATGGGGTTTCACCATGTTGACCAGGCTGGTCTCAAAACTCCTGACCTCACATGATCCACCTGCCTCAGCCTCTCAAAGTGCTGGGATTACAGGCATGAGCCACCGGTGCCCAGCCTCTCCTGTCTTCAACAACAGCTTTTTCACTCCTTTCACCTTCCTACTTATCTTCCTTTTTTGTGGTCAATAAATGTCTTTCTAAGAGAAAAAAAACAGTCCCTTGCCGGGCACGGTGGCTTAAGCCTGTAATCCCAGCACTTTGGGAAGCCGAGGTGGGTGGATCACGAGGTCAAGAGATCGAGACCATCCTGGTCAACATGGTGAAACCCCGGCTCTACTAAAAATACAAAAAATTAGCTGGGCATGGTGGTGCATGCATGTAATCCCAGCTACTCAGAAGGTTGATGCAGGAGAATTGCCTGAACCCAGGAGGCGGAGGTTGCAGTGAGCCGAGATCGCGCCATTGCACTCCAGCCTGGGTAACAAGAGCGAAACTCAGTCTCAAAAAAAAAAAACACAAATTTTACTTTAAGATCTGGGGTACATGTGCAGAACGTGCAGGTTTGTTACTTAGGTATACATATGCCTTGGTGAACTGCCTTTTTTTTTTTTTTTTTTTTTGAGATGGTGTTTTGCTCTTGTTACCCAGGCTGGAGTGCAATGGTGTGATCTCAGCTCACCGCAACCTCCGCCTCCTGGGTTCAGGCGATTCTCCTGCCTCAGCCTCCTGAGTAGCTGGGGTTACAGGCACGCACCACCATGGCCAGCTAATTTTTGTATTTTTAGTAGAGACGGGGTTTCAGCATGTTGACCAGGGTGGTCTCGATCTCTTGACCTTGTGATCCACCCACCTCGGCCTCCCAAAGTGCTGGGATTACAGGCTTGAGCCACCGCACCCGGCCGGTGAACTGCTTTTTTAACATTCTCTTCTCCCTTGACTCCTTCTGTTTTTTTATTTTTATTTTTTCTGTTTCTAGGGCTGCTTTTCTCAGTTTCCTTCCTGGGCTTCTCTTCTACCTCCTGTATCTTAACTACTGTTATTTATTAGAGTTGTGTCCTTGGCATTTTAGCTCACTCTGCATATTTCCCTGCCTGATGCTAGCTACTCATTTACCCCTGCTGTTGGCTTATGACTTCCAAACGTGTCATCTCCAGTTCATTTTTCTTTCTGAACTCTAAAGGCATATATTCAACTGTACCAGATATCTCTGTTTTGGAAATCACAGTTTCCTCAAACTCAACGTGTGCAAAATAGAATTCATCATTGTTCCCTGAAAACTTCATTCTGTTCCTTTTTTTTTTTTTTAAATAACCTACTAATTACCCATGTTAAAATCCTGAATGTTGGCCTTGATGCTTCCTCCACCAGTATTTGTCCCTTAGTACCAAGGTGTACTATTTGACTTTCCTAAAATATTTCTCAGCTTACTTTCCTCCTGTGTTCCATTGCCACTGTCTCTCTTGAGGTTGCCTGGATGACTGTAACAGCCTCTTGACTAATCTTTCTGCCTATACTTTTATCAGTGAAAACCTACCACTAGGTTGAATTCCTTTTTTTCTTTTTTCTTTTTTTTTAATAGAGATGGGATCGCACTACGTTTCCCAGGCTGGTCTCTTAACTCCTTGGCTCAAGCAGTCCTACCCCAGCCTCTCCAAGTGTTGGGAGTGAACCACTGTGCTGGGCCGAAGGTTGAACTTCAAAATGAAAATTCATCCATGGCATTCCACTGCTTAAAATTTTTCCTTGGCTTGCTGTTGCCTTGGGATAAACTCTAGACCCCTAAGTGTGATCTGCCTCTTAGCCTTGCTGTCAGTTAAGCTATTCCCAGCAAAGGTGATGTGCTGTTTTGCGTTTCAGAAGCCGTTCTGTCGTCAGTACCTTTGTATCTCTCCTTCTCTCCTCCCTTCTGCCAGCTTATTACTCCTTTCATCCTTACAGACCAGCTCTTAACTTGGACATCATGAAACAGTTCTTGGGTCTGGCTGTAAGTGTTCTTATTCCCCATATCTGGGTCTCCCTCCGGAGTGCTGTCTTTGTACCCTGTGCTATAACCTTTACCATAATATCACTCATTGTGTCTGTCCCCACTCCTGAACTGTGTAAAGGACAGGTCAGTCCTCCTGTATCCCCAGCATCTGATGTGGGTATTAGATGTCAGTGAGAGGAGCTGAGTTGATGTAAAATGAAGTGACCAACAGTGGTCAGGTGTTGCTCTTGACACACAGGAACAGAACACAGCCATTTAGCTAGCACAAGATAGGGACTACACTTGTGGCTTTTCAAGACCTTTTTTTGCTTTTTTTGAGACAGAGTCTTACTCTGTTGCCTAGGCTGGAATGTGGTGGCGCAATCTTAGCTCACTGCAGCCTC